GCTGTTATTCTTACTTCATCACCTAATTTAAACGGTTTCTGTTTTGAAGTGTTGTATCTCTGTCCCTTGAAAATATTACTTTTGGCTGTATCTGGGTCTCTTAATGCTTCTTGCGGTGACATTTTAATTGTTCTGTGATATGATGAGTTGTAAGCTTTCATCAGGTCATCCAAAACATCAATATATCTTCTAGTTTCTTCTGCATTGAAGTACCTGTATATACGACTTCTCAATGTCCTGTTGAACCTCTCGACAATAGCGCATTTTATTGTTCCATCAGTAGCCGTGAAATGATTAACTTTGTGAGTTGAGAGGAAGGTTCTCAAGTGAGTGTTGACAAACTCTTTACCTTGGTCAGTTTGTAATTTATCAGGTTTTCTTCTTGACTTTTCAAACACATACTTGATTGATTCTATCATTGTCTTTGCTGATTTGTCTTTAACTGGTATTGACCAGGCATATCGACTCAAACAATCAATCAAAACAAGTATGTACTTGTTATTATTATTCTCTCTTGTTACCCATGACATGTCCATCAAGTCTCCTTGCCACTGTTCATCAATTTTATCTACCAAAATTGGTAATCTTGGGAACTTGTTATTTGGTTGTCTGAACAGTGAATATGTATCTTGTTTGAATAGCCATCTCTCTACATCTTTGTACTTTAAATCAGGGATTTCTTTCTTGGCTTCAAAGTATAACTTTCTTACACTTCCAAATGAACCAGGAGATTTAGGATCGAAATAAATTTCTTTTAACTTTTTGTTAGTTGTTGCCATGATGAAGGGAATGATTTCTGTACTTCAAGAGCTGTCAGTGCCTGTTTATTATGAATTAGTTTTGTGGCATCTGTCTCGCTCATCAACAGTGAATGTATAACCTGATAATATCCGTTAGGTGCTCTTGCTTTTGTCTGTTGTTTTCTTAAATGCTCGACAATCTTTTTAACATTACTGTTGTGAACTGGTTTCTTGTCCGGGCCAAGAATCACATCATTCTCTCCTACAAGACCTTTGATACTTCTCAGTACTAACTCTAATTGTTTTTTCTGTTTCTTTTTCTGTGATGATGTTGGTGTAATTACTCTACTTGTTGAATAATATTTACTAGCTGCTGGTGTACTTGTCATTGGCAGAGTTTCCTTAATCGTAGTATCCATAGGTTCTTCACTCTCTTCCTGTTTAGTCTCATCTATTGATGAAGGCTCTGTTGCTGCAGTATCATATTCCTCTTCTTGTGTAGACTCTTCAGGTTGATTATAATACTCAACAGGGTCCAAGTACCTATCACTAGCTCGAGCCATCATATTGTTTATAAATTTCACTTTAGTCTCTGTTGGTAAATTTTTATTCAAAATTTTTCTTGTCATACTAGGTCTCAATACATTTCTCTTGTATTGATCCTCACTCACGAGGTACATTCTCGTTACTGTATTCATTGCATAAGTTTGTTTGCGGCTATTGTTGCTAATATTGTAAGAGCAGGTTTAATCAACAGTGGTAAAAAGCCTCCTGCTTGGTTGATGATGTGTCTCTTATTCGGACTCTTCAACTTTCCAGCTAACTTACGGAAGACATTCTTATACCTTTTTAACTTGGCCTTATAACTTGGTTTAACGGGTATTGTCCCACCAAGTATCTGTTTGACTATGTCCACAAGAACATTGTAAATACATTTAGGGGAGCTTGATAAGATCTTCTTCCTCTCCTTAACACTCTTGGCTTTCGCCAGTGCTTGTAGGCAAGGGTAATACTTGATTGCTTGCTTGACTGTCATGATTGTTACTTATGATGATAACACCTTTCTTATACTATGTATGATGTTATGTATGGTTCCTCGTCGAGAACATTACCGAGGAACCTTGTCTCTGCTGATGTCTCAGGCTTTAGGTCAATAAAGAGGTAAGAGTAGGGTTTCTTCGTGGCATCTTCGTAAATTGCCTGTAACTTTGATGTCTTACCCGGTAACATCTGTCGACCAATAGAAGAAATAATTGACTGATCTCGTGGATTCTTAAATAATACAAGATACTGTGCATTAAGTGATATGTTTCTACTCTCTTTACCCCGAGTGAAGAAGTTCTGCACAAGTAGTATCACTGATAGGTTACGGTGATGTGAACCTTTGTAAACAACTCACTTATAACTTTTGAGTTTGTCAGCTCTTAACATTAGATCGTCAATTATAACCCACTCTGGTTGAACACCATCAAACTTGGATATCATGTTCTCAGGAGCCTTGGATGGAGTTAACGTTTGACATCAGACCGAAGATGCTTTGGTACTCTCCATAAAGTAAGTTACTCTCATAGGCTCTGGTAAACAATATTTACTTACATTATCAAGAAGTCTCTTGCTTGAGTAGGTTTTACCGCAACCAGTTGGTCCCGCTACCAACATGGTAAAAGGATGATGTAAATAAACGTTAAAGGTAAACATGGTTTAATGTGAAAATTATTTAATGGTTTTCTTAAACAAAAAAAGTTAATCAATTACATCAATTCCATTCTTATACTTTTTCATATAAGTGTACATATCTTGAACAATTGAGTGAGAACATTTATATTTCATGGCATTTTTCTTATGGTTAATACATGGTTTTCTATCATCATCGATTGATTTAAACGAGGCTCCATACAAGTTGTTTATGTTGACAAAAGGAATATCCATCCAGTCCAATAACTCTTCCGCTTGCTTTGACTTACATGCTGCCAAGACGTATCCATTTTTCCGACTGGCTCTGAAGTACTTTACGATTATCTCTTTCATCTCTTGAGAAGAAACTCCTTCATTATTGATCTCGAGTCCGTGAAGATAAGTGGTGAGATACTTGGCTTGGTTTTTTTCATCTTGAGAGAGAGAACAATCACAACCCTTGCGAACTTTAAGGTGGATGAGACAGCCATCAGCTAACAAGGCAACTTCAGCAGGATGGTAAAGGTTGTTGATATAGAATCCTTGGGTGTCGAAATAAGCACAAATATGGTCCATGTTTACTTGATGAAGGTTGAAATCAAAATGATGGTTAACACTGTTTTGTCTCATCTTATATATACATGAACTTGGCGAGAGACTCAAATACAAGTGGATCTGATTTATAAAATGAGTTAAGTGCTTCCCAATCAATTTTACACTGTTTATACATTTCTGGCTCAATGATACCAAGATCATGTAGAAAAGACACCTCTGGAACATATTCATCCTCGGTGAGATCACTCCATCGTCGTCTAACCAAATCTTGAATCGATATCTTAGATGATAAATACTTGAGATCAAGTAGTTGTTGGATTGCTAATTCTTTTTCGGAGATTAAGTATACCATGGCGAGAAGTAGCGGTCTCCAGTAATCGAAGTGGCCAGTTGATAACACGATACCAGGTTTACCTCCTTTACTGATTTTAAATGTCTTGGGACCATCCTTTTCAATCTTTAAATCAAAGTAGTTGAGACCTTGAGAGTCTTCATTGTAGAACTCAGCATGGTAGAAAGCTAGTCTTAACTCGGAGGCTGTTAGACTCACACCACATTTATTACCCTTGTTGAATGACCGTATATCGACTCGACGGACCTTATCAGTGAACATTATCCGAAGGGTTACACCTAATTTCCAGATAGTGAAAAACTTCATTCTTTTTTCCATATTGAACACAACAAAACTTGGAGACCGGTGAAAGTAACTCTAGTGAAGGTGAAGGAAAACTGATGATTTTCCTCAAGATTCACTCCGTTTATATACTATTTGACTTGACTCGACGCATGTGCAATAGATTGAGTTAGAGATGTAATGTTTCAGAGATTTAATGTTTAAGAGATTTATTGTTTTAGAGATGTCATGTTCATATACAGACTCTTGTTACAGAGATGTCAAATTTATGTGTGTTAGAAATGTATATTAATGATAATCTGTTCCAGAGATGTCAGTTTCAATGTATATGAGATGTTTCAGAAATGTTAAATGCGGGTCAATGACGTTCGATTGACAAACATAGTTAACGCTGTATCAATCTCATCTTGTTCTTTGGCTCCTGTTATTATCACTGAACCAGTGGTGTAATAAATTAATGTCACCTTCTCCGTTTTGATGTATACCGCTGGATAAATCTCAGGCTCATATGTTGTATCTTGATAATTGGCTATCATGGCACGGGTGTCAAATGAATAGGGAAGAAAACTGTGGGCCGTGATGTTAACAACCTTAACAAAAACAACAGACCTCTCAGGGTATATCTCTTGTAAACATGAACCAGCTCCATTTATGTTCTTGAATCCTGTGGCTGTCACTTTTCCCGATGCAAAGACTAAGAAGACACCTTCCTTTCTTCTTACAACCTCTGCATTGAACCGTTTCTTTCTCTTTGAATTATCCACATTAATTTGTATTGGACCGATGTTCCACAGTGAAACTACATTAACAATGTCATATTTAAGCGAGGAGGATCCCTGATTCTTTGATGTTGCCATAATAGATACTCTTTATTAACAGTATAACGAGTAGACACAGAATGATGAAATTTATCACGAGTAGATGCATTTTAACTTTTAATTCACTCTCCTTCTTTCTTATATACTGCCTCTCGTTCTAGAGATGTCAACTTTATATGAGTTAGAAATGTATATTAAATGATAATCTGTTTCAGAGATGTCAGTTCTGATGTATACGAAATGTTGGTTTTAATATGAGCTAGAAATGTACCTGAGTTAGAAATGTACCTGAGTTAGAAATGTCACCTGAGTTAGAAATGTACCTGAGTTAGAAATGTCACTTGAGTTAGAAATGTCACTTGAGTTAGAAATGTCACTTGAGCCAGAAATGTCAACTGAGCCAGAGATGTCAACTCTGAGCCAGAAATGTCTTATGAGCCAGAAGCAATCTTTTCCTTACTACTATCGTTCATTTTGAGGTTAATGTTTCATCTGATTTCCTCGCTTCTTTTTAGTCTGGATCGTTCATTTTGTTCATTTTGAGGTTAACGTTTCGTCCTATCTCCTCGTTTTTTTTAGTCTGAGGCCAAATTATTCAAAGATTTTATTCTCGTAAGAACTACAACAAGCAATTACAAAGATGTGAGCACCGTAAGTATCTAGAACCAAATACTAAGTACATTTATTATATAATATAACGGTTACTAATATACAATTTCAATACATTTAGAATTCTTATAAATTGATTGAAACCATCACAAAAGATTACTATGGATTAGAGGAAACGGAATCAGGTCGAGATTATGAAGCTGCATTAACTTTACACTTTGGTGATTGTTACCCTGATTCAAAAGATAGAAAGACTTTGGCAATTTACTTCAGTTGTGATAAGGACGATATAGAAGATGTGGACTGCGTAAAGTATGCGGAAAACCGTTATGATTTATTCAAATTAAGTGTGAAAAACAGATTGGCTCAGAATCATAATATTTCTCCTGCAAGAGTAGCTAATATTGACCTCGTTTTTGAAGATCGAAGTATCAAAGCATTAGTGACCTTTTTGAAAATTCCCAATATAGAAGGTGAGTTTAAACTGATACTAAGCACAGATAATGAAGTTTTTCATTCTTTTTTACAATCAGATAGTTTACAGAAAGAAACAATAAAATTGTCTAAGAGCACAGTTTCAAGCTTGTATCAAGTATCTGCAGATTCAGTTGGCGATTGTTTTTACAAACAAGCTAGACTCAATTATGACCCAGAGTGAGTATTGTAATTATCCTAAACTATGAAACTTTTCATTTACTAACATTCTCTATCATAGAGCAATATTATTTTGCTATCAATACATAGGGCCCAATATTTGCGGTCGTATTAAATTAAAGGAGACTATCGTCAAAGATAAGACTGGTACGACTTGCGATGTATTTTATCCAACAAAATGTTATTCTCAATTCGAAAAGGAAGTTCATCTTGATAAATTAGAAAATGTTATTCGTCATAATAAATTACAAGTTTATCTATCCGGTGAAGCTTACATATCTTACAGTTCCACAAAAGTTGTCGAGATAACTAATGGGTTGAAACAAAATAGAAACTCTTTCGTATTGGTTGCATCGGAAAAGAAACTGATAGATACTGATGTTGATGTCATATTGGTTAAAGATGTTTCAAATCTTGGTGATTGTTATGGTACTTGTGCTCATGATGATGTCAATCTTTGTGAGACTTTCGTTTATTGTCAATATACAGATAAATCTTCTTGTTATACATCAAATATTATCCATGCTAATTTATCCTCGCGAACGACAGAAGATGAATCTTGTAAAATTTACTCAAAGAACCGACTATTAGATTACATTAAGATATCTTCGAGAGAGTTTAAACAATCAACTAGCATCGCTATTGATGTTCCGCTCGATGATTGTGCTTCAATGTGCAGTTCGTCTGATGAATGTTTCTCATTCCAACAATGTGGTGGTTCTTGTACTTTGAGTGGATTTTACACTGACTCGATATCACAAGAAAGTTCTGATTGTAATATTTATATTCGTAAGTATCATTCATATCATATTTTTGTGAAGAGAAACTGATTAGTTTCATTAATCAATGTCTTTGTAATTTCAGCAAAAGTTTCTCAACAATTTATATCAACTGGACGAAAAATTGTTTCTCAAGTTTTTCACACTGAAGTTAATCTAAATTTGGATCAGTGTGCTGCTCTTTGTCACAGTTGGACAAATACTGGTGAATCTTGTGTATCATTTAACTATTGTCCTAAAAATGGTGAAATAAGCTCATGTAGCTTATCAAAATATTCGACCAACGATAAATCAGTTACTTTTATTAATTCAGGTGATTGTAAAAATTATCAATACAAAAATCTAAAAGCAACCAAAGACAAAAATCATGTGTATCACAAAGCTATGACTGGAAAGATAAACGGAGGAGCCGCATTCGTCTTGATCATTTTTTTCATTAGTATTGGACTTTTGCTTGGATTCATTTTCCCGGTGCTCATCTATGAAAAATTAAAGGGAACTATCAACAGAAAATTGGTTTCATCATCCTTAACGAAAGAAGAAGTTAGTTCATTCAAGTGGAAAAGACAAATTGATCAAACGGAAGCATAAATTCAGGAATAATAATTCATATTGTGTTGGGCTTTTTTAATCCCAGTTTACTTTAGAGCCGTTAATAAAAAAACTATTATAACTCAAGCAAATAACAAATATCACAGAATATCTCATGAAGAAATAAAGAATTTATTATAAAAGTTTAAACTATTTGATTATCTTTTTTTACCCTTTTCTTCATTGTCCAACTGAACAAATTACAATTGTAAAAATCAACTAGACATAAATGAGAAAAAAAGATTCAGACATTTAAGGTCAGAACTTTCACAGGAAGTTAATTGAATGCACGAAGATATCACATTCAAGCACTTTGAGAATTAAATCTTTCAGCATAAGTGAAAATTTTCTAATATTATTGACGCAAATCGACTGCAAGATGCGCTCATCTCAAATATGAAAATCACGTGTTGAAGTTTGGATTTTTTTCAAACTAATTGTATACGGATCGAAACCTAAGACGGATTTTATGCAAATTAAACATTCTAAAGTTTAGTAAACGCGTCAAATTTGGACTCAATAAACAAAAATCAGTCTGATAGTATTTTCATTCATGATGATTCGTCGTATTTATTTCATAGATGTTACAAATCTTGCAATACAAAAGATTCGACGAATACTATTGAGTTTTGTATCAACTTTTAAATGGCTAAATGTTTTAATAATTAAAAAAAAACAGGTTAATACAATAAAAATAAGTAGCAGTGCAAGCCATACATTAATTAATATCAACTGAATCTATTTGTTTTGTCCATCCGAATTCATGAATTTCTTGTTTGGATGGAGACGAGAAATTTATTTTACAAGTAAAAGTTTCCATTAAACTTACATTGATCAGCATCGGAAAAATAAACCCAAGTAAAAGTCCAACGGTAATGAATAACAAGATTATACCGAATGCAGCTCCTCTACTTATCCCTCCAACGGTAACTTGTACATTTTCATTGACGTTTCTTTCATGCGACTGTAAATTTTGCTTTTCATAATTCTTACAAACTCCTGAATCAATTGAAGTAGCTGATTTATCGTTGGTTGAATATTTTGATAAGCTACATGAACTTATTTCACCATTTTTAGGACAATAGTTAAATGATACACAAGATTCACCAGTATTTGTCCAACTGTAACAAAGAGCAGCACATTGATCCAAATTTAGATTAACTTCAGTGTGAAAAACTTCAGAAACAATTTTTCGTCCAGTTGATATAAATTGTTGAGAGACTTTCGCTGAAATTACAAAGATATTGATTAATGAAACTAATCATTTTCTCTTCAAAAAAATATGAATGATACTTACGAATATAAATATTACAATCAGAACTTTCCTGTGATATCGAGTCAGTATAATATCCACTCAAAGTACAAGAACCACCACATTGTTGGAATGAGAAACACTCATCAGATGAACTGCACATTGAAGCACAATTATCGAGCGGAACATCAATAGTGATGCTAGTTGATTGTTTAAACTCTCTCGAAGATATCTCAATGTAATCTAATAGTCGGTTCTTTGAGTAGATTTTACAAGATGCATCTTCTGTCGTTCGTTTGGATAAATTAGCATAGATTATATTTGATGTAAAACAAGAAGATTTATCTGTAGCTTGACAATAAACGAAAGTCTCACAAAGATTGACATCATCATGAGCACAAGTACGATAACAATCACCAAGATTCGAAATATCTTTAGCCAATATGACATCAACATCAGTATCTATCAGTTTCTTTTCCGATGCAACCAATATGAACGAGCCTCTTTCTGTACTTATTTCATTAGTTACATCAATAATTCTTGTTGATTCGTAAGAGATAAAGGCGTCACCAGATAGATAAAAGTGTAATTTTTTTCGACGAAGAATATCTCCAAGTTTGTTGAGATGAATTTCCTTGTTGAACTGAGAATAACTATCGATTGGATAATACACATCACAAATCGCATCAGCAGCATCCCTGACAATCGTTTCCTTGGACGCGAGCCAACCGCAAACAATGGACGTTTTTTCTTGATTGCAATATGCTATCGCTCTGAAATATAAAATTTAGTCAATAAAAGCATTCAAAAAGTTCAAAAAGTACTATCAGGTTGGTCGGGCCTAAGTGTAGTAACTTTATTCCTTAATTGTCTCTTTCTCGATTTTGAGTTCAAAGTTGAACAGTTCGAAATGACAATTTCAAACGGTTGTATAAAATACATATAAGTATAGGCGATTAGAATTAAAATCTAAAAAAATTAGCTACTAATTCGATTACAATTGGAAAATTAAGCCCCAGCACTTTGGCTCGGATAATCCAGTATACATATAAATACTTACTTTGGGTTACGCTTGAGTCCAGCTATTTTGTAAAGACAATCGCCAACCGATTCTGCAATCACATGATTTAAGCTCGAAATTGTGCTCTGAGACAATTTTATTGTTTCTTTTTGTAAACTATCTGGGGATAAAAAAAATAAATAACTTATACAGTCGTGAAAAATGACCAACTGTCGACTAAAATTAATTGATAATCTCTATCATTATTTATAACAGTTAATTTAAGTTACTATCTGTGCGAATGATTCGAAAATCAGTCGAAACTCATTTTTCTGTGACTGTATTCAACTAAAATTCTTTTATTTTCGCCGATGTTCTGATCTTCATTATCTGTACTTAGTATCAGTTTAAACTCACCTTCAATATTTGGAATTTTCAAAAAGGTCACTAATGCTTTGATATTTCGATCTTCAAAAACCAGGTCAATATTGGATATTCTTGCAGGAGATATATTTTCACGCGCCAAAGTTGTCTTCAAATTCGCATTGAACATATTATGATGGGTTTCCGCATACTTCAAACAGTCCAAATCTTCGTCATTTTCACAAGTGAAATAAATTGCAAAAGTCTTTCTTTCTTTTGAATCAGGGTAACAATCAGCAAAATTTAGAGATAGTTCATCTTTATAATCGTGACCTGACTCTATTACCTCCAACCCATAATAATCTTTTGTAATGGTTTCAATCAATTTATAAGTTTCCTTAAAAAAACAAAAAAGTAAACATTAGCAACTAACATAGATCCACTTAGCATTTGATCTTAGTTACTTACCGAGTTAACTTTTTTATAATTGTTAGTTGTAGTTCTTACGAGAATAAAATCATTGAATAACTTAGCCTTTGTCTGTGAATAATTGAAAAACTATTAGAATAAGACTAATCGATGGGATGTGCATGGGAGAGAATGATTAAAATGCTTCTTACTGATTTAATAAAATAATGACTTGTTACGAATTTATCATATTTTTCTCCTTCGAATGCGTAATCGTAATCCGTTCTTTCCCAAACATACGCTTCGTATCTTGATCTCTACATTGTCATTTGATAGGAAAAAGTTCATTTAGTAAGAAAATTGTTCCTTTGAGATATTGAAACGTACGATATAAGTTTTACCAAGATACGAGTATGTATGTGTGTCTCGATAATTTAGAAAACCATATGTAGTGAATGCTCCGTAAATACTTATTCCTGGACTATTTGGACCAATGCCGGAGATCAAACAACGACCCTCTTTCGTTAGGGAATAAATAGTTCCCAAGTTATAATCGTAAAGAGATTCGGTCACAATCCCTTGTTCAATTGTTTTCATACTTGTAGTAAGATCTTGACTGTTGACAAACATCTAAAAAATAGGATTTGATGAGATTAAAAAAAAATTATTAACAAATAATCATTCAGAACTAAACGAATGAAATTTTTTCAGTCAAAGAATTTATTTTACCTCACTTAATGTTATTGACTTTTTGGGTCCATCAACAGTAGTTTTCGCAACGAAATGATAACTAGATCCCGACATTTCTGGTATCTGAAACCAGTCATGAGATTTTGATGTTATGAGGTTCAAGGGACAACCGATTCCTGGTGTAACCTGAAGATGATAAATTCTCATAAAAACCGATGAAAATATTTTTTATTCTTCTTACCGTAACAATTTTATCAAGCTCTTCCTGTGTTTTAGTAATTGAATAAATATCTAAGTTAACAATTTCACTGGAAGTTATAAGTTCGAAAGGTGAATCTAGACCATTGAATTGTAATCGACTGGCTTTTAATATTCCAGGAGAATCTAAATGAGCTTTTAGAGAATTGGAAATGAACTGCAGGTAACAAGTAGATATGTACGGAACAGGACAAGATATTCTTTTCTTGGAAAATTGACTTACTTTTGTAATAATAAATAATATCAAGATTTCTATTGAATGTTGTGTTTGCAGAATGGACCGCGAATCCATTAATATTTGTATCTTCGTCTTGTCTCTATAAATTAACAATTCAACACAAGTAAAACATCAATTAAAATTAAACCAAAACTAAAAGGATTTTGTCAACTCGACAATTCCAATATTTACCCAGATAAAGTTCTTTCCATTGATCCTGAACACAATCGAAGGTCCGGTCATCAGTAGATGATTAAGAAGAGGCTTTGTCGAATCGATGTTGAATAATTTATGATCCCATTTGTTTTTCAAATTAAATCCAAAACATTGTTGATCTGTTGGTACATAAAAAAAACATAAGAATACGAAGGCACTCGAACATAGAATTCAAAACTACTTACTCTGAATAACCAATCTATCGTTTTTAAATTCACTGGAATAAAAAATATCCATTGTATCATCTCCAGAAGATATAGTTATTTTACCACGAACAACTTCACTTGAATGAACGTACTCTCGAATATCGAAAACTCCATCATTTGACTAAATTGAATACTTCATTAACTAACTATTTAAGAATAATTAAAGATCCACTTACCGAGATTAACTTTGCGGTTATTATCCAGTTACCTTTGTCAACTGACCAAGGGAGATCATGAATAGACTCTAAGATGAACCAAAAATAAAGAAATGCATATGAAAACTATTCTCAAGTTACACTAATTTCGCCACCAAAACTTACCGGTTGATATTCGGAGTATACAAAAGTTTGAGAGAAATAACAAAGTTAACAAATTAACAACAACAAGTGAAATCATTTCAGATAACGAAACTACTACAATACAGTAGCAAATTACAAAGAAGGAAAATTCTGTTATAACTACGAATTATGGTAATTAACTGATGTTAATTTTAATTATTTGCCTTTATAATAATTAAATATGGGGCTCACTAAATATTGATGTCATCAATGAAATTGGTTCCTCAATTTCATTTTGATTATTTTTAATCTAATCAAATTCAACCTAAATTTGCATAATGTATCAAATTGAACCGAAAATTAGAGTAATATGTTATTAATAGTAAATTTTATGAAATCAGATCTTTCTAATACTGGACCAGTTATCGAGAATAATAATCTTGATGATTAATCGTTACAACAAATCCATTTGTCAAGGTAGAAAATCAGGTCTTTATCACCAATGGAAAAAATATTCAAACGATAAAATCAAAATGATTTTTGGTGTCGCTCTACATGATATTTCACCAAGTTTTTCTTGAATAACTATTTTGTCTTTGGGTATTCGAACTTCAAGCAAGAGCAATGGGAGTTGATACTAAATTACAATATTTCAATACCAAGGTCACTCTGGTCGATCTATTAGGATAAAGTTTCCAGAGTCGTTTGATGGGTATAACCAAATTTGCGATCAATGATGAGGCCGTGAACGAGGTCACAAGTTTGAGGTGTTTTTAGTTGCAGAGAAAAAGTGTCTTCGAATCAGAAGCCTTTTAATTTCAATCATTTATGTACTCATATAAGTGGTCGAATCATTCGACTTGAGTGTTCAGAAAGGTCACATGATGATCGGTGTAATTTACTATTAATAACATATTACTCTAATTTTCGGTTCAATTTGATACATTATGCAAATTCAGGTTGAATTTGATTAGATTAAAAATAATCAAAATGAAATTGAGGAACCAATTTCATTGATGACATCAATATTTAGTGAGCCCCATATTTAATTATTATAAAGGCAAATAATTAAAATTAACATCAGTTAATTACCATAATTCGTAGTTATAACAGAATTTTCCTTCTTTGTAATTTGCTACTGTATTGTAGTAGTTTCGTTACCTGAAATGATTTCCCTTTTTGTTGTAAACTTGTTAACTTTTATATTTCTCTCAAACTTTTACATAATCCAAATATCTACAGGTAAGTATTGTAATACATCGATATGAATTCATTGATCTAGATTGAGATAATCTCCTTATTATTTTATTGTCTTAGAGTCTATTAACGATCTACCTTGGTCAGTCCATCAAGGCAATTGGATAATAATTGCAAAGTTATTCTCAGTAAGTAAATCTTAATTTTCTTTTATCATTAATACATACATATGTAACATTTCATCCGCTTGACTTGAAAAATTTCTTATTTAGTCAAATGGTGAAGTTTACGATATTCGAGAATATATTCACTCCAGTGATACTGTTCGTGGAAAAATTTCAATATCTTCAGGAGACGATCAGGTTGCTATTTATTATTCAAGTGAAGTTGAAAAAGATAGATTAGTTGTTCACAGTAAGTATTGAAATTGTTTAAAGATTCTGTATTCTTAAGCATTTTTATTATCTCTACTTAGACGCACAATGTAGTAAATTTAGTTTTACTAACAAATGGGATAACAATTTATTCAATATCGATTCGAAAAATCCTCTTCTCAATCATGTACTGATGACGGGCCCTTCGATTTTATTCAGAATCAACGGAAAGCGATTAACTTGGGTAAATATTGTGATTCTTTAATTTTATTTGGATTCAATTTTTAATTCAATTGTGTTAAATGATTGAATAGACACAAGGAAATGATGCAAATATAAGAGGATTCCCAGTCCATTCTGCAAAGACAACGTTCAACGAAAATCTTGAAATTATTTACTACCATAAAAGTAAGTTAACTTTTCTAGTAAAAATATGTAACAATATTATTGCTATCATTATATAACATTATTCAACTATTGATTCCTCATTAAGCTCATCTGATTTCGTCTGTATTATTGAAAGCAAATCGGTTACAACTAAAGGGTACGGATTCATCTTTTGATGTAACTGAAAAAGAAGATTTTTACATTGATATTTACTCAATTACGGAAACAAAGGAAGATCTTGACAAATCAATAACAGTAAGAAGAAGATTGAATAATTTGAATTTCTATGTATCTGAATCTATCATTATCCAGGTCACACCAGGAATCGGTTGTCCTTTTTCACTCATATCATCTAAATCATCAGACTGGTTTCCAGCACCAGAAATCAACAGATTAAGTTATCATTTTACTGCAAAATTAACTGTTGATGGACCCCAAAAGTCCATCACTTTTAGTGAGGTAAATACTATGATACTTTTACATGCAAACTGAAATGCGAAATGAAAATTTCTTTATTACTTTTATCCGTTAGATGTTCGTTAATAGTAAAGCTAGAACTGCTATTCAAAAAACAATTGAACAAGGGAAAACAATCGAATCCCTATACGATTATAATTTAGGAACCATACATTCGTCTCAGCGAAAAGGAAGTTGTTCAGTCTCTGGAATTGGGCCAAATAGTCCAGGAATGAGTGCTCACAATACATTCACTGCGGCTGCTTTACTCAACTATGAAGATTATTATATACATTATAAATATCTTGGTAAAGTTTTTATCGTAAGTTGCATCAGTCATTCTGTTATCAAAATCACTAATTTTAAACTTCTTCTCGAATGCTAATAGAGATCAGGATACGAAGCTCATGTTTGGGAAAGGGTTGATCACGATTACGAGTTCCAGGGAGAAAAGCATGATAAATTCGTAACCAATCATTATTTTGTTCAGTCAGTAAGTTATCGTTTTTATCGGTTATTTCATAAATAACATTTCATCTAAATTTCCTCCCATCAACAGGCTGATGCAAAGTTATTCAAAGGTTTTACTCTCGTGAGAACTACAACAAATAGTTATAAAAAAGTGAACAACGTGAGTATGAAAAAGTGAACGAATCTAATAGTAATTATAATTGATTTATATTATTCTCAATGAGTTTAGGAAACTTATCACTTGATCGAAACAAGAATGAAAGATTACTTTGGATTAGAGAAAACTGAATCAAATCACGATTATGAAACTGAAGCATCTTTACGTTACAGTGATTGTTATCCTGATTCAAAGGATCGAAAGACTTTTGCAATTTATTTCAAGTGCTTGTACGAAAATGAAGGTCATGAAGGTGACTGTATCGAGTATGGAGAGAATCACCAAATTGAATTCATTGAGCTGATTAAAGAATATTTGCTGGATCGTGATATTTCCCCTTCACGTGTAGCCAATATCGAGCTGGTTTTTAACGAAAAAAATATGAAAGCTTTAATAACTTTTTTGAAGATTCCAAATATCGAAGGTAAGTCGAGACCTTCGATTATATAAGATTGATAAGTTACACTATTATATTGTATACTATTTCTATTATCAGATAGCTTACAAAGAACTAGAATGCTATTGCCTGAGAAAATGATTTCCAGATCACTTCGAACCACTGCAAAATCGACGGTCGATTGTCTTCATCAACACACTGGACTCAATGGTGCTCAGTAAGTAACTAATGATCGCTATCTATTTAGATTTTTCATTAAATATGGTCTCTTTCAGAGCGGTCGTGTTTTGTAATTCTCAAGATGTTAGCTCAATTATATGTGGATGGATTGAAGATGATGTGACAATCAAAGAAGATGAGGATGGTTTACTTTGTGATATATTTTATATAACCTCAAGCTTTTCTCAGTTCAGAAAAGAAATTCATCTTGATAAAATGGAGGAGCGTTTTCATCGCAATGCTCTGCAGATCTATTTTACCAGAGATGCATATATCTCTTACAAATCGACAAAAGTAGTTGATGTTACTGCTGAGTTATTGAATGGTCAAAATAAAGACTCTTTCATTCTGGTTGCAGCGCGTAAGAGGCTGATTAACTCTAAACCTGACGTAATATTGGCACAAAATGTTTCCAATTTTGGTGATTGTTATCATACTTGTGGTCATGATGATGTTAGTCTTTGTGAGACTTTCGTATTTTGTCAATATACAGATAAATCTTCTTGTTTTACATCAAATATTATTTATGCTAATCTATCTTCACAATCGACCGAAGATGAATATTGTAAAATCTATTCAAAGAATCGATTATTGGATTATATTAAGATATCTTCGAGAGAGTTCAAACAATCAACTAGCATCGCTATTGATGTTCCGCTCGATGATTGTGCTTCAATGTGCAGTTCATCTGATGAGTGTTTCTCATTCCAACAATGCGGTGGCTCTTGTACTTTGAATGGATTTTATACTGACTCAATATCAAAGGAAAGCTCTGACTGTAATATTTATATTCGTAAGTAATATTAATATTTTTTTGAAGACAAAATGATTAGCTTAATAAAACAAGCTCTTTGCAATTTCAGCAAAAGTTTCTCAACAATTTATATCAACTGGACGGAAAATCGTATCTGAAGTTTTTCACACGGAAGTTAATCTAAATTTGGATCAATGTGCTGCTCTTTGTCACAGTTGGACAAACACAAACGAATCTTGTGTATCATTTAATTATTGTCCTAAAAATGGTGAAATAAGCTCATGTAGCTTATCAAAATATTCAACCAACGATAAATCAGCTACTTCGATTGATTCAGGAGTTTGTAAGAATTATGAAAACAAAGATTCACAATTGGATAAAGACAAAATTCATGAAGATGAGATTACTACTAAAGGGACCAGTGGAGTAGCTGCGTTCGGAATAGTCATATTGTTCATTACTGTTGGACTTTTACTTGGATTCATTTTTCCAATGCTTATCAATGAAGAACTTAAGGCCACTGTATCCCGGAAAATGACTTTTTTATCTCCATCAAAACGAGAAACAAACTCATTTGAATGGACAAAACAAATTGATCAAAATGACGCATAAATCGTGGTAAAACTTTTTGTCAGTACTATTTTTTTTATTCGAATTCTAGTTATCCAGAACTATATTTTTCTACATCCAATTGTCATTCAATGTAAACTCAAAGCCATTGTCCCGATATGTCAACTATTTTATGAACGATATTAAAAATTTATTCTAGAAGCTTATATCGGCAAAAAGGATCAAATGAAATTTTCACAAAACAATTTACTTTTGAACCCACGAGAATACCATTGAATCAATATCAACGGCTATCTTCCTATCTATTAGATCAAGCATAATACTTAATTACTTATCCATAGCAATAAGATACCGAACTCAATACGCGATGAAAATTAGAAACAACATCGTAATGGTTGATCACGAAGTATAAAATACTAATGGATAAAACTCCTACTCTTAACCCAAAATCTAATTCTTTGGGTAAATGTTTGGGTTTTGTGATGAAAATAAAAGCGCTTTTTCAATCTAAGAAAGATTAATAAAAAACATACAAATTCGTATTGAAATTACATCTAAAAAATCTTATAACCTATGGCCAAAAAATAATACTCATAACCACAGAAAAAATTTTGGTTCACAAATTTCTTGTCTTTGGTTTTATTATTGTTGAAAGTGCTTGAAAGTTTTACTTCGGTTAGAATCAAATTGACCTATTCAAGTGTTATACTGTTTTAGTTATTAGCAATTTTGCTCATGAATTTTAAGTTGCTTGAATTGTTTATTTCATTCAATATTTAGAACTTCGAAATTGTTAAATTTTCAGATAATTATGATATTCAATGATTTTTTAAGAAGTTGTTATCTACTTAGTCAAATTTGCAATTTTATGAATTTCATGAATTAGATTTGTTGATTGTGTGATTGCTGAATTGAATATAATTAGATATTGATTTATCTTATTCATTTATATATATTAATAAGTTGGATAGATAAAGTGTAAATTTCTAGAAACTGTGAGAATTTCATTACTTTGATAATCAATTTAAATCATTCAACGCACTGTGATAATTCATAATTATTACTATTCATAATTTGGAAATCATTCACGAAGTAAAAGATCTTTAATGATTCCAGCAACATTTTCTTCAAGATTCTTTGATGGGTTGAATCCTGGTAATATGAGTTTGGATAGAGCCATTTTAACAGAAGTGATAACATCTTCTTCCACTGTAGTCGATGGGTCTATGTTAGAGATTGAAGCAGCAACCAAGGCAACAACATTGTCATCAACTGACTTTTTCACATCGAATCCAGCGACATTTATATTTTCGAAAGCATCTAGAACATTATTAACCATTTGTTTCTGTATGAAACCGATTGGAAACCATGCTATTTAATTGGAACGAGAATGAAGTTGATTAGTATAAAGTTAGACATACATAATTTAACTTACATGGTAGCATGGGAAGTGATCTCAAGAAATCGACGATTGCAAAGTTTATGTTTTCTTCAAAGGTTTTGGTCTCATCGAAATCTTGGATATCAAGTGAACGAAGATAAGCTTCAAGAGCATACACAAGGTTAACTTTAAGAGCAGCACCAGGATTCCAGAATGGAATAGTACCAGATTTTAAAGCTTAGCCAACGACGGTTAGAACATTTTTCTGGAGTGAGGCTGATGAATCCCAGTCGGGAATATTTTCTTCGATACTCTTAATTCGATTTACAGAATGGTCAATGATATCACGCTCGAATTGATTTGGTTCTTATAACGAATCAAAGAAGAAGTAAAAATGGATTATTGTTAAAAATATTGTACAGAAAAGTTAATTATTAATAGTTAAATAAATTGTTGCATTGAAATTACCTTCGGTCGTATTAATATTAGCGTTGATTGCAGAGACACTGATAAGGGCAATGAAGGCAAGTGAGAATTTCATTTTGAGGTTTAATTAAAAAAATGTTAATTAGTTTGAAAAACACTTTAATGAATTTATATTTTTTAATTAAAAGACTTTTATATTTATAGTAACCTGTTAACAATTATTCTTTGCTTATCCATTTATAATAAAGGGTGTACAATTGTAAATGGTAGATTATCTTACCTTAAATTGTGATAAGAATAGAGAAAAATGGAAACAATTAAATCAAATCCTCATCTCTATATCTCAATTCAAGGTAAAACAATTTACTATTTTTAACCGCAACACTTTTAACACGTTAAAGATCTGATTACATACATAATTATCATGGAAAACAGTTACAGGTAAAACTGACATAACTATCTATTTCTATTGCATCAGAAACAAATATATTGATAAAATTCTTGTGATTACATTGTTATAATGAGTATCCATTTGACAATCTGATCAATTGTTTGGAAATATTTTCGGTTCAATTTGTTACATTTTTGGATGTTTAGGTTAAATTATTATTAATAGATAAAATCAAGGTAAGATCACGAGGATAACTGATAAATCAGATCAAAACAGAGCCTCTTTCATTCTGGATTCATTGAACAAGAAAGTTAGTAGCATTAGAGTCGGAGTTGACTTTAATGGTACTATTCAATTTTTTAGGTTCGGTTTGTTACACTGTTTAAAATTTAGGTTAAATAGTCATACAGAAGGAGAGAGATGAGAGGATCAAAGATAATTCTAATTTAATTAGGTTATTGTTTCATCCTCACCTGAAAAATCACAATAGTCTTTGTTTTTCAACTAATTATTGGATAACATCATTCATTTTGGCACTTGCTCCTCTTCAAAACCATTGTTGTGCACAATCTAATTGTTTGCAATGTCTCGGAAATTAAAATATACACAATCAAGATAAATGTCAAGTATATTTTAATCAATCAAGAATAACCTAAAAATCAGCTGGATTCAGCAACAGAATAAATCATTGACTATTCAAAGTCTTCAAATTCAAATGATTTAGTTTAAAAATGGAAAACAAATTAACCAAGATTCAACAACCAAATGCAAACTAATTAAATCTTCATTATATTGAAGATTTGTCAACCTCAATCATCGATTCAATTAAGTAATAGCCCTGTATAATCATATATATGTATGGTTTATGTGTCCTTAATTGGAAACAATCAATTGATTTACCGATTGCAATAAAACCATGAAATAGACAAATATACATTGATTAACAATTAAAATTGTTTTATTATTATTTATATTGTTTTATCCAATTTACGAATGAAATTAGTCATTCATATGTTCATAATTGGCAGTAATCTATTGAGTTGTCAAAATATCAGGCGATGTTAAATGTCAAATGATTTGAATGATTCCAAAAAATTGACAATTGAATATTGATGAAAAATCTGCAATATCTAATTCCAGAAGAATAATTCAAGTTAAAAAGAGAAGCAAAGAATTAGTTTTCGTAATAATAACTGTGAGTTTGTATTATATACAGACAACAATTAATTGATCAATAGGTTCACACAACTGGATTAAGAAACCAAATGATATGAATAAACAATTTGGAGATACAATTACAATTGATTGTATTGCTTCTGGTTATCCAAAGCCTAAAGTGAACTGGAAACGTATGAAAGGTTAGATTCAGTTGAATTGCTCTGATTCATTTCTCATCATTGTTTCATTGTATGTTTGATAACTACAAATTGATTTACCAATCATCAATAAGTATGATATTAAAATATTTTATCTATTTTCAGATTGTTAATCAAATGATTATCCATGTAATTAACCAATCTAGTGAACAATGAAGTTGTAATTAACAATAAATAATAATCATTGATTATAAGAGATAAGTATTAAAAGTTTTTTTTTGCTTTTTTGATTGAAAGTTGTTATTATGAATAGATGTAACTATCACAGAGCGATTGTTTGGCAATTAACTTATCAATTAGAAATTGATATTTTATATGATGATTGAAGCTTAATATAAGAGAAATGAGAATTGAAAATCTAACAATAATGAGAAACTGATAAATAATCTCACAAATTCAACATCATTTTCATTGTCAAAATGATTTTAAATAATAAGAAAACAGTTTGTGCTTGAGTATAATTTTCATCGAACCTAAATCAATAATGTAGATTGATTACCGCCTTCGACTATCAGAAAAATCTATTGATTACATTATATAAATAACAAAACTATCTATTTGTTGATCTAAAGAATTTGCAAGATTACTTTTGGGTACAATTAGTTACATTATTGAACATTACTTGATAGCGAGATCATTCTGGTAGATGTTATCGATTTACCGTTAACCTAACGTATTTTTTTTTCATTATAAATACTAATAATTATAATCTGTATCAGGTAATTTCCATAAATTGTGCTTATTAGATTGTTTTCTTTATTAGTTCTGAGTTTTATTCTTTCCATTCAAATGTCACCTTTTTTAATGAAGTTGTTTACATTTCTATTGCTAATTAATTATTACATACTCGCGACATCAGCTGGTAAGTTTAGTTAATTTAGTTAGCATTTAAAACCAAAACTCTTTATTAGGAATTGAATAAAATCTTATAAGCTCTCTATTTCTCTCTCTCTTGCTCTTGTGGTTTTCTTAGATTCACTTTTCGATCTTCCTTGGTCAGTTGATAAAGGTAATTGGATAATAACTACAAAGTTAATCTCGGTAAGTGAATCTTCATCTTCTTATTCAATTAATTAATTTATGAAATATTCAAATTAGTCAAATGATGAAGTTTACAATATTCGAGAATATGTTCACTCAAGTGATGTTGTCCGTGGTAAAATTACAATATCATCAGGAAATGATACAGTGGATATTTTTTATTCCAGTGAATCGGAAAAGGATAGATTAGTTATTCATAGTAAGTATCGATCATGTAAATAAAAAGATTTCACCAAGTAAAAGGATTTTCAATCACTTATTCATAGATCAACAGTGTATTATGTTTACCTTTAAAAACGAATGGGATAACTACTTATTCAATATCGATTGGAAAAATACTCTTCTCAACCATGTATTGTTGACGGGACCTTCAATTCTGTTCAGAATAAACGGAAAGAGATTTACTTGGGTAAATATTGTGATTGTTTAATTTTCTTTTCAGAATTAAATTGTTGATTAAATCACTAACTGAATAGAGACAAGGAGAAGATACAAATATAAGAGGATTTCCAGTCCATTCTGCAAAGACAACGTTCAATAGAAATCTTGATATTATTTATTATTACAAGAGTAAGTAACTTTTTTTTAGAGAAAAGTTTATATCAGAAATTTTATTCCATAATCTATTTTTGCATGAAGCTAACTTGGATTCACCTGGAATACTACAGGCAAGTCGTTTACAGTTAGATGGTATGGATTCATCTCTAGAGCAAACAACTCCAGCAGAAAACTTTTACATGGATATTTATTCAATAACGGAAACAGAGGAAGAACTTGATAAACTTGTCACAGTAAGAAGAAATAATTTAAGTTAAGGTGAATCTTGGTCTAAATTTATGATTTTCAGGTCACCCCAGGAATCGGATGTCCTTTCTATCTCATATCATCTAAATCATCAGACTGGTTAACACCACCAGAACTGAGAAAATTTAGTTTTCATTTTACTGCAAAAACCACTGGACCTAAAGAATCAGTCATTTTGAGTGAGGTAACAAAACCGAGAAAAAAATTCATACATGAATTCATTTTTATCTATGCTTAATCCTTGATAAAAATTTCATTCTTGCCATGAATATTTTATATCTACTAGGTGTTTGTAAACAGTGAGGATCAAACTGTGAACTTGAAGACCACAGAGCAAGGGATCACAACTGAATATCTCTACGATTATAACTTAGGAACCATACATACAGCACAGAAAGAAGGACAATGTACTGTCTCAGGTATTGGGTCGAATGATCTTGGATTGATTATTCACAATACATTTACTTCTGCCAGTTTACTGAATTATCGAGACAGATACCATTTCTCATACCTTGGTAAAGTTTTAATCGTAGGTTCAAATTTCTTTTGCTTATGCATTCCCATGTCAAGATTATGAGTTTAAAATTTTTTCTAATTACATGATAACAGAAACCTGAAAATGAAGCTTATGTTTGGGAGAGGGTTGATTACAATTATGAATTTCAAGGAGAAAAACATGATAAATCCGTTACTAACCATTACTTTGTTCAATCAGTAAGTTATTATTATCTTTATCGTTCATTTCATGATTAATTTTTTTCAAAATTCTGATTATTATCAGGACGATGCAAAGTTATTCAAAGATTTTACTCTCGTAAGAACTACGACTAACAATTATAAAATAGTGAACAATGTAAGTAAAGAAAAATGAAATGAATCTACAGAAATTGAGTTTGGAACAAAAATTAAATCAACTACACACAACCAATTAAATCATGCATCTTAGAATTAATGAAATGGAAATGAAAAAACATCGGTTTTCCGATATAAAAGGAAATCACTCTTTGATTTCTTTCCATGCACAAATGATATAACTACTATTTCGAGCTCAATTTCTGTGGCTGGATAACAAAAATGATAATATAATAATTTTTCTATCAATTTAGGAGACTTTTGAATTGCTTGAAATGATCACAAAAGACTATACTGGATTAGAGGAAATGGAATCAGGTGAAGATTATGGTGGTGGATTATCTTTGAGTTACAGTGACTGTTATCCTGATTCTAAAGATAGAAAGACTTTTGCAGTTTATTTCGACTGTGAATATGAAGATGACGATCATGATCATGAAAGTGATTCTGATTGTCTGAAGTATGGAGAAAACTATGAATATGAGTTTATCGAAAAGATAAAGCATGATTTAGTGTATCGTGGTATCTCTCCTACACGCGTAGCTAAGATCGAGATGGTTTTCGCCGGGAAAAGTACCATAGCATTATTAACCGTATTGAAAATTCCCAACATCGAAGGTTAGTAAATAATAATGGTGAAGATATAACTCAAGGCTCATAGAATTTTCTATTTATTTTCAATATCAGATAGTTTACAAAAAGTAACAAAACGATTGGCCACAAGTACGATTTCAAGCTCATCTCGTATCTCTGCAGAATCAATTGCCGATTGCCTTTATAAACAATCTGGACTCAGCTATGAAGAAAAGTAAGTACATGAAAATGGTAATAGTTTCGGTTATTATCTAATAATATTTTATGTACTTTAAGAGCAATAGTGTTTTGTAATTCCCAAGATGTAAACTCTATCATCTGTACTTGGATTGAATCTGAAGTGCCCATAATTGAAGATGAGAACGGTACACTTTGTGAGATATATTATCCATCGGAAAGTTTTACCAGCTTCAAGAAAGAGATCCATCTTAATGATGTGGAAGATCATTTTTATGATGATCCATTGAAGATTTATTTTACCGATGGTGAATTCATCTCCTTTAAATCAACAGAAATTATTGATGTCTCCGATCAACAAGATGACGATATAAATTTGTTTGTATTGGTTGCAAATGATGAGAATTTCGAAGATGTTGACTATTTATCAAAAGTCGAAGATAGTTCTGATCTTGGTGATTGTTATCGTACTTGTGCTCATGATGATGTTAATCTTTGTGAGACTTTCGTTTATTGTCAATATCAAGATAAATCTTCTTGTTATACATCAAATAACATTTATGCTAATTTATCCTCACAGTCAATCTATGATGAATCATGTAAAGTCTATTCAAAGAGTCGACTATTAGATTATACCGGAGTATTTTATAAGGAATTTAAAAAACCAGCTAACCCCGCCATTAATGTTCCACTTGAAGATTGTGCCTCGAAATGCAGCTCATCTGATGAATGTTTCTCATTTCAACAATGTGGTGGTTCTTGTACATTAAGTGGATATTTCACTGACTCGGAAACACGAGAAAGTGAGGATTGTGATATTTATATTCGTAAGTAGTGATGAAAGAATACAGATGAAAGTGAATAATTCATGAATTGAACACTTTAAAATTTCAGCCAACGTCTCGAGAAGATTCAGATTTTCTGGATGGAAAATAGTCTCTGAAGTTTTTCACACTGAGATTAATTTAAATTTGGATCAATGTGCTGCTCTTTGTCACAGTTGGACAAATACTGACGAATCTTGTAAATCATTTAATTATTGCCATCAAAACAATGGAAAAAGTTCATGTAGCTTATCAAAATATTCAACCAACGATAAATCAGCTAATTCAATTGATTCAGGAGTTTGTAAGAGCTATGAATACAAAACCTCTTCTAAATAAGATAAATGACGCAAATTCGATGAGTTTTCACAAGAGCGACAAATAAAGTTACTGTTGGATTATTAATGCCATTTGTAATCTAATCAATATAATCAATAAAGAATTATATTTAGCTATGGATTAATGGTAATTAAGATGGACCATTTTCTAGTTTAATGTCAAATTAGAGCTAGCCTATTTATCTTAATTATTCAAGTAACAATTAGACCATAACGATTGACTAAGGACAAAGTCACAGGCCATAATAAATGGATATAATTGGTTGATTAAAATATCAATAATATTGAAATATGAGATCAAATATTTATTAAGATGACACCATGAAAAAGACAATTGAACATTGATTTACAATTTGAAGTGTTTTATTGTGGATGAAGATAGCATGAGCAGATTCAGAATAAAAAAGACAAGGAAAACCAAGCGATCAACATGATCGCTTTTCTGAATAATTTTAGGAGATGGATTCATGAATGTCATCTTTTCTGTCTTTTTTCTTGAAAATTTTATCAACCTTAATTTAAACAGAGTAGTTAATCGTATCTTTGATTAACCTCTCAAAGTTTTAATATCTCAGGGCGTGCGATTGATACAATTAAAAAAGTTACATTAATCTGATGCTCTTTCTTTTCTCTTTCCCTTTCATTGCCCCGAACGTCATAATTCATCCCTTCTCTCTCTTCCCCTTTTCTCTTTCTTTTCTGTCTAATCCTCTTATTAATCTAATTAACATTTTAATTTGGTCAATTTAACGCCCCTTTTTTTTACTTAATTAATAACTTTTGACCCTGACCACCTTTGACATTGGTTCTATTTTTTGTTGTTGAAGATTTTTGTCTTCTTTCTGTTGATATTTTTTCCATTTCTGTACGACTCCTAGTTTTTCTTAAATCTTCATATAAAAAATCGTGAATCGTAATAAAGAGTGTGGCACTTAACAAGTTAAAAAATGGGAGGTGCTAATGTAGCTTAATCTTTACATTTTTGTCAACCTTATCTTCATTTTTAGTTAAGGTTAAGCTACATAAGCACCTCCCATTTTTTAACTTGTTAAGTGCTACACCCTTTAATTGTTTGTTGATTATTCAAATTAAAATTGTTACAAAGTTGAACACAAAAATTTAAGTAAACTTAACAAATTAGTAGTTAATCTTTGCTTCCAAGCAAAGTTCAGGTTCAGTTCTCAGTTCAGAGTCAAAAAGTCAAAAAGATGATTAAAGTTTATTCGATAAGCAATTCGATTAAATATAAGTGAATCTATCAGTACATTTATCAAGACAGTGACCAATGGAAAATCGCTTATTCGTAATTTTCTATGCTTATATTAATACATTTGCAAAACTTTTTTGCGATTGCCTTTTATCTATGTATCAATTTGATGATTTGATATTTGCATTCCGACGCCGAGAAAATTTGAAGCCAATTCGGTAACGATGTTACACTTGCTGCATTGTTATTAAGAATTGTTTATTTCATTCAATATTATCAATAAATTCGATACATTAAGAAATCAAAACCATTGAAAATTATTTGAATTTGTCATTACTTTGATTATAAATCTAAATCGTTGGTTAAACTGGTATAATAATTTGTAAATCATTCAAGAAGTAAAAGATTTTCGATAACTCTTGAGACATTTTCTTGAAGAGTCTTTGATGGGCTGAATCCTGGTAATAGTAAGAGTAGATCTAAAGCGTTTTTGAAAGCAGTGTTAACAGCATCCTCCAATTCAGTTGATGGGTCAATATCATAGATTGAAGTTTCAACCCAAGCGACAACATCGTCATCAACTGAATTATTTACATCAAATCCAGGGATCATATTCTCAAAAGAACCTAGAACATTATTAACCATTTTCTTCTGTACGAAATCAATTGGGAACCATGCTGTGTATTTGAATACAATTTTCAGTTAATAAGTTAATAAATTATCATAAATGATCTTTGAACTTACATGGAATCACAGGAAGTGATCTCAAGAAATCACCAATAGCAAAGTTAACGTTTTCTTTGAAGGTTTTGGTCTCATCGAAATCTTGGATATCAAGTGAACGAAGGAAAGCTTCAAGAGCATACACAAGGTTAACCTTAAGATCAGCACCAGAATTCCAGAATGGAATAGTACCAGATTTGAAAGCTTTGCCAACGACGGTTAGAACATTTTTCTGGAGTGAGGCGGATGCATCCCAATCAGGAATATTGTCTTCGAAACTCTTAGTTCGGTTTACAGAATAGTTAACGATATCATGCTCGAACGGGGTTAGTTCTTGAAATGAATGGAAGAAAAATTATTAATGGATTATTGTTGAAAAGATTGTACAGAAATTGTTAAAAAATAATAGCAAATTTTTGTATTGAAGTTACCTTTGCTGGGCTTAGCATTGATTGTCACTACACTAACAAGGGTGATGAAGGCAAGTAAGAGTTTCATTTTGATGGTTAATAAAGATACACAATTAGTTTGAGTAATAAGACTTGAATGAACTAACCATTATAATTCAGAGACTTTTATATAATTGTTACCTGTTAATAATTAATGGGTTGAGCAAAACTCTATTGATTACTAATTCATTTGTCATAAATGCTGTTACAATTGAAATTGGTGAATTACCAAAGTCTTTTTTGATTAACAATCTTTTATAATTTTCCATATCTAATTTACGTTTACAATTAACAGCATTGACATTTCTCAATTTCCACCTTTCACATTTCCATCACTGATAAACATCACCTTTTCATTGTTTAAAGACAAGATAAGGACTAAAAGTCAATATAAGGACAAGTTAGGGGCAAAAAGACAATGAAAAGTCAAATTTGACAGTTGTTTAAACGTGTTAATTGTTATCTAGTCATTAATGAAATTGATATTAACAAATTTAATTTCAATTTGATGTCAAGATGATGAGTTGGTCGAAACTCTTTTGTCCTTGATGTTGAATTATTAACAAAACAAATGTTGAAGTTGGAAAAATGTAAAAACAAATAGTCATAGAAATTGATTGATTTGTCGATTGTAAATTAAATTAAGATGAACATCTTGTTGAACGTGGCAGCAGAAAAATCAAATATAAAAGATTGATCATTTGCAGAATCATAGATATTCAATAATTAGAATAAGTTTTGTCTCTTCTGGTTAATTTCTTTCCATCGTAACCATGAGAGTCTTTCTCTTAGCTTGTGTTTTCCTCGTCGCTGCTGTTAACTTCTCACTCGCTTGTGGTAAGTGACCGATCATTTCTATTCGAAATTAATTCGAATCTAAATTTATTCATCTCTCTTATTGTTTTCTCTCACTCTCTTTTTCTTTCTCTGTCTATCTAAAATTTCATACACACAAACAGAATGTGGTATGGAAGGTTCAGCTGGTCGAATCTACAAAGGAAGTAAAGTTCGAGCTCACAAATACCCTTGGTTAGCTCACATTCGGTAAGTTTTTCCAGCAATCAAGTTTCTATTTCTTTTAACTAATAATCTCAATTGGTTATTGTATAACTTTTTAGATCGTACACTAGCCGAAACTCTAGATCATTCTCTCAATGTGGCGGTTCTTTGATCGATGAACAACACATCGCCACCGCTGCTCATTGCGTTGTCGATGGTGATGGTTATACTAAGGATGCTTCAAATGTTGACGTTTTCCTTGGTAAAGTTAAGGCTTTCTCTGAATACTCTGAAGCCCGATCAGTCTCAGAAATCTGGGTTGACCCTAACTACAATCGAAAGGATCTTTCCAACGATTTCGCCATCTTGACCCTCTCAGAGCCTGTTAAATTCAACCAACAAATTTCTCCAGTCTGTTTACCCAAGAACGAATCAGGTTTATCCAAACTCACCGTCTCTGGATGGGGAACCACTTCCGCTCACTCTGACTCAAGTGACACTCTCTTAGAAGTTGATGTTTCATACTTGACCCGTAAGTCGGTTAATAATCTTCCATCTTAATTTAGTTTTTCACGATTCATTTTGTCTTAAATACTTACCAGACGAACAATGTAACGATATCAAGACCAATTTCTTATTCAAACAAAATGGTATTGATCTCTCATTGAAGGGACTAATTCGAATCCCCGAAGTCGTTGAGACTCACATGTGCGCCATCAACAAGCAAACCATGGGCGATGCTTGTTCAGGTGATTCCGGTGGACCACTCATGAAAAAGGGCAATAACGGTCTACACTACCTCATGGGTGTCGTTTCTGGTTCATGGACTGAGTGCGGTGAAAGTACCGATACTGCCGGTCTTTACACTCGAACCCTTTACTACAAAGACACCATCAAGAGTATCGCTCCAAATGCTTGCTGGAAGGATTAAGAAAGTGAATACACTGTATTACTGTTACTTTACTGTTCCAAATTGAATCGCAATGAAAAAATTAATCGTTTTTTATGATTAAAAGAAATACAATTCTCAATAAATATCGATTATTGATTATAAACTCGCATCATAACCTTACTGCCAACGAGAAAATTATTGCATAGATTAATTTTGAAATAAACTCGAACGTAATTCTTTGCACGTAACACGTCAGGTATTATGGTTCAAGTTTTTATCCTAAAATAAAGTATCAGATTTTTGTAACAATCAAATGAGAGTTTTTTTTTTATTTTAACTGGTAAATTAATAACGAATCTTGACATCAAAATCACAAATCAATTTTCAACCAAAACAACATTTTTTTTCTCTCTTGTGATTTAAAAGATACACAATCTAAATCAGTGGATCAAGATAATCAAAACTTTCCCAAAAATATGGACATTTAGTCTCACAAACCTGAAAACAGTAAATTAATACTTACATATTGTTAGAATTAACTACTAACACGTGTAGAGCTCTTACAGCCTCCAGAAAACCGACAATTTTCAACAACTTTCTTAATTTATTTCTAATTTTACCGCGAACAACTTCACTTGAGTGAACTCGCAAGTATCGTAAACTCCATCATTTGACTAAATTAAATGTTCAATTGATTAACTATTCAAATATTAAACGAGAAAAAGAAGATTCACTTATCGAGATTAATTTCACAGTTACTATCCTATTTCTTTATCAACTGACCAGGAGAGATCATGAAGAGACTCAAAAATGTGGCCTTGGCAATCGGAAAAAATTCTATAAGAGATGACTATGAGAATTAAAAAGTATTTATACGATCTTGATGCTGCATAATTGTATATTTATTGTAATTTTAACATAACCAGTAATAACTCAACTAGAAATTGCTCATTACACATGATATAAAAGTATTTTAATTTGAAACAAACGACATCGATTATTGGGCGGTATTAATTAATAGAAATCTCCGTGGAAAGTGTTGATTAAGCCTCGTCCAGTTAATTCAGTTACCAAGTCTATAACCTCTGTTGGGATACCCGTTCGTTTTGCCAGCGAAACATACCAAGCTTTGACTAGAAAAGTTAATAGTAACAATTAGTATCTTGACTATTCAAGTTTTATGATCTACTTACTTTCAGTAGTTTTATCATCATTTTGAACACAAGTTGAAAGAACAGCTGATCGATCAGAGTCTGAATAATAAGGCATCCAGAAAATACCTTGTTTACCCTCTGTTGATATTGAAAGAGACATTAGTATTGATGATGATCATGTTGATTAGTCTTCTTCTGATCATCGACTTACCTGGAGTAGTTACATTGAACGAATAAGGTTCATCTTCTAGATCGTAATATGATTTACCATTAAAATTACCGACGACAAAGTTTATCAATTTGTCCCGAAGAGATTGTGTTCCTCTATCAATTAATGTAAATTATTAGACGATCAATCCAATTCAATTGTTTATTATCGATTAACTTACATTTCTCGAGAATCTCCTGAAAAGGTAACACTAACTTTTCCTTTGTACAAGTGATCAATTGAGATTGTATTGTAAACGGTTCTTGGGGTAGTTTCATGAGTTCGTCCGATTTCATACCAATGTTGGGCAAACTGTTTTTTCATCAAATATTCATAATTAATTAGTTAGTGAGTTGATTGAATCGTATTCAAATTATTAATACTTACATAACTAAAGTCCCAATCACTGATTCCTTTAGGAATAGTTGGTGTTGGACAAGTTTCGTTCTTGAGTATTGAAGCTGCTGAAGTGGCAACAATCAGGGAAACACAAACAACGAACGACAAAGCTGATTTCATTTTTAATTAGACTGTTGAGTGTTGAAATGAAGGTTAATAAAGATACACAATTAGTTTGAGTAATAAGACTTGAATGAACTAACCATTATAATTCAGAGACTTTTATATAATAGTTACCTAGTAACAATTAATGGGTTGAGCAAAACTCTATTGATTACAAATTCATTTGTCATAAATGCTGTTACAATTGAAATTGGTGAATTACCAAAGTCTTTTTTGATTAACAATCTTTTTCAATTTTTCATATCTAATTTACGTTTACAATTAACAGCATTGACATTTCTCAATTTCCACCTTTCACATTTTCATCACTGATAAACATCACCTTTTCATTGTTTAAAGACAAGATAAGGACTAAAAGTCAATATAAGGACAAGTTAGGGGCAAAAAGACAATGAAAAGTCAAATTTGACAGTTGTTTAAACGTGTTAATTGTTATCTAGTCATTAATGAAATTGATATTAACAAATTTAATTTCAATTTGATGTCAAGATGATGAGTTGGTCGAAACTGTTGTGTCCTTGCGGTTACATTATTAACGAAACGAATGTTAAATTTGGAAAAATATAAGAACAAATAGTCATTAATTTCTTTCCATCGTAACCATGAGAGTCTTTCTCTTAGCTTGTGTTTTTCTCGTCGCTGCTGTTAACTTCTCACTCGCTTGTGGTAAGTGACCGATCATTTCTATTCGAAATTAATTCGAATCTAAATTTATTCATCTCTCTTATTGTTTTCTCTCACTCTCTTTTTCTTTCTCTGTCTATCTATTTAATAAACACAACTGTTACTTCTGTTCAGAATTGAATCGCAATGGAAAAATTAATCGTTTTGTATGATTAAAAGAAATACAATTCTCAATAAATATCGATTATTGATTATAAACTCTCATCATAACCTTACTGCTTAATGAATGAATTATTATTAATACATTGATTACTTTCAAAATAAACTCGAACGTAATTCTTTGCACGTAACAGATCGGGTATCAAGGTTCGAGTGTTTATTCTAAAATCACTCATTTGACTAAATTAAATGTTCGTTTGATTAACTTTTCAACTATTGAACAAGAATATGAAGATTCACTTACCGAGATTAACTTCACAGTTATTATCCAATTACCTTTGTCAACTGAGCAGGGGAGACCATGAAGAGACTCAAAAATGTGATGCCTTGGCAATCGAAAAAATTTCCACGAGATAACCATGAGAATGAAATGACCTTGATCTTGAATGATCTTGATGCTTTATAATTGTATATTTATTGTAATTGTAACATAATCAGTAATAACTCAGCTAGAAGTCGCTCATTACACATGATGGGAATAACCGATAGTAAATTAGAAAGGTAAAAGGTTTACGAGAACATCGGCAACATTTTGTTCAAGAGTTTTCGATGGACTGAATCCTGATAATTGGACAAGTTTGAGTGCTTTTTTAACGGCAGCATGAACGATCTCTTTCACTGAAGCCTTTGGCTCTAATCCTTCGAGATTATTAAGCGAGTCATCAACCAAGGAAATGAGATTATCATCAACCATATTGAAGATATCAAATCCTGGAGATTTGATCTTTTTTAGGGAATCGATAAGGTTGAGGAAGATATGCTCTTGGATTTTTTTCTTTTGGATCCAATCTATTGATAGATGAAGGTTTGAAGTAGATTTAGTTGATGGTCTTTGAGCATCAGAAAGTATCATTTGTTCAGTTACTCACCTGGCACGGGAAGTGAATTTACGAATGTAATAACAGTAACATTAAGGTTTCGGTAAAGCGATTTGGTGGCGTCAAAACCTGGAAGCTCTCGGACTTGTGATTGAAGAGTAGCGAAAAGGTTATCCTTAACGCTAGCATCAGAATTCCAACCCGGTAAAGTAGCGGTGTCGATCATTGTGTCAAACAAGGTTAGAATATTTTTCTCGAGTGAAGCTGTTGCATCCCAATTAGAAATGGTCATCTCCCATTCCACTACAACTGATTCAACAATTTCTACGAGAGAATGGTCAAAATCACTAGGTTCTAATAAGATGGATTATTCATAAAGAAAGACAGAAAAATTTTCATTAAATTAATTTTTTAGGATCACAATAAGAATTTAAATGTATTAACAATTTAACTTACCACTAGTGGGCTTAGCGTTGATTGATGACATACTAATAAGGGTGATGAAGGCAAGTAAGAATTTCATTTTAATGAATAATAAAGATACACAATTAGTTAATTAACTTGAGTACTAAGACTTGAATAACTAATCATTATAATTCAGAAACTTGTATATATACTAGTAATCATTTCATGGAGGCAATGTAACCATTTAGTTGAGTTATTTAATCTAATCTATGAGAATCAAAATTTAGAATATAAAAATATCTTGTTACGTTTCTATCAAGTTATCATGTATTTTGCCATACTAAATGATGGAATAAATTATTGTATCGATATTTATTTCAATGATAACTGTAACTTTCTGTCTATCAACATAAAGCAAGATTATTGTAATCAAATTGATAACTGTTTGATATTGAACAATTGTTCACTTCCTGAATGACTTGATTTAGTTTAATCGATGTTTAAGGTTGACAAATCTTCATCAGCTTTTATCTTGGTTGTTGAATCTTGGTTAATTTGTTTACCATCATTACTATGAATGTATTGATAAGAGACAATTGTCACATTCAATAATTTTATCTAATAATTAGTTGAATACAAAGAATTTATTCAGTTTTTTGCTGAAACAATAGACTTACTAATAGTATTAGATTAGCATTATCTTTGATTATTTCATCTTTCTTTGTGTCTGTCAATTTTATATCAATCATGAATCAATGTCACAAATAGAACCTGAAAATGTTATCTCAAGAATTTTATCAATAGTTTCTTGTGATATTTGTGGGTGTAGTTTATTCATACGATGACTCGAAATCTAATTTGACTCATTTTGAAAGCATGAAATAGCAGATAGATGATGTTAAGGAGTATCGTTAATACACAGTAGGTCAAACGCCGACTGGCCGACTGAATTGATTACTGTGTTTATCTAGTTCATTCATCATGATTTGGTATAAAGATTGAAAAAAAATTAACCAATATTCAACAATTAAGATACGAACTAATGAAGATTTGTCAACCTTAATTATCGATTCAATTAAATCAAGTCACTCGGGAAACGTTACTTGATCAATATCAATCAGTTATGGCAGTGACTCTTATACACCTAATTATTGGTTGAAGGTAAACAAATATTTATTACTTGATTGATAATTTATTAATAGTTACAATTCATTGGAAATAAATAAATCTAATTGCATTTTTTAAAAACAATTCAATTGTTAAATACCATGACTGCCAGGAAACAATTGAGTTAATTAATTGTAAACAAACGTACATCGGAATCATGATTATTCTGCTAACTGTTTTCTTTATACGTTTCTAATCCCGAAGGTGAACCGTTTTGCTCCACCAATGAAACCAGAGATTGGGAGTAAGACCTCATTAACTTGTCAAGCAATGGCTGGTTCATTGCCTGTTCATATCTTTAAAGGTTCAAAGACTGTCAAGAAAGTAATGGTGTTCTTGTCAAATGGAATCGACCAGAATTTGTAAAAATGAAGATCTGTATTATGTCAATAATTTATATTCATGAATTTGTAAGACAAAGACAAACCAATGAATTTTAACCAAAATATACAAATAGTCTAATTTAATTGTATTTTCTCAGCGAATAAGCTCTTTAATGGTTTTGGAGTTTCGATCATCTACTAACTACTGTTAGTCCAGTAAAACATAATTCTATCTTCACCTTTTACCAATTATTTATGACCTTTTCTCGTTAAAAGTCACATGCGAACTCTTTAATATTGAAGTGAAATGATACATGAAGTTGAAAGAATTAAACACTTATACAGCCATCGACTTCGAGTTTGCAGCCACTTTAAGCCTATTCACGCAGTTATTGATAATTAGTCAAAGATTAATCTAATTGGATGACCATCTGAAAAGATAACACCAGTTAAATGAGAGGACATTGATTATTATCATATTTTTGGGTTAACTTAATCTCTCATTGATTATCATTCTCGTCGCAAGTAAATGAAAAGTGATTGAAAACTTCAATTCGATGGCTGTATGTATTATAATAGATACATTTATACAGTTTAGTTTATTTACTCATGCCGAATCTACGCTGGTCAAGGAATCGACTAATTTCATGAAACACAATTGTTCATTCTCCTATTTAAGTCGATAATATTTTACTTAACTTGTTAATCATTCAGCTGATTATTAAATATTTTGAATACTTAAATTACTCATCACATTGATAACGATATCTCATCTATTCACTCCCATTCAATCTGGTTACCTTGAATATAATCTTACTATTATATTATAATATTTTGTAAAATAATTTAGATGTAGAGTCAATTGTGATTATGACTATTAAAATGTATTGAAAAGGTTGAATTATGAAAAGATTATGAAAATGTTGGAAACAATTAAAGTAAATCGTCATCTTCGTATCACTATTCAAGATAAGATAATCAACCATTTCCAATTGTTACATCCTTTATGAAAAATTAGTGAGTAATGATTAATTGTTAACAGGTTGTCTACACATAAAAGTATTAATATAAAAGTTTCTGAATTAGAATCGTTAATTCAGTCAAGTCTTTCTCCAAACTAATTAACTAGTGTTTTTATCAAACCTCAAAATGAAATTCACACTTACCTTCATTACTCTCATCAGTGTTTCAACAATCAATGTTAAGGCCACCAAAGGTAATTTGAATTAAATAGTTGCTATAATAATTAACTTTTCTGTACAATCTTTTTAACGATAATCCATTTTTGCTTCTTCTTTTATTCGTTATAAGAACCAAATCAATTCGAGCATGATATCATTGACTATTCTGTAAACCGAATTAAGAGTATCGAAGAAAATATCCCCGATTGGGATGCATCAGCCTCACTCGAGAAAAATGCTCTAACCATCGTTAACAAAGCTCTACAATCTGGTACTATTCCATTCTGGAATCCTGGTGCTGCTCTTAAGGTTAACCTTGTGTATGCTCTTGAAGCTTTCCTTCGTTCACTTGATATCCAAGATTTCGATGAGACCAAAACCTTCGAAGAAAACATAGACTTTGCTATCGTTGATTTCTTGAGATCTCTTCCCATGATACCATGTAAGTTTAAGTTAAATTATGTCTAACTTTTAACTAATCAACTTCGTTCTCTATCCAATTAACTAGCATGGTTCCCAATTGATTTCATACAGAAGAAAATGGTTAATAATGTTCTAGCTGCTTTCGAGAATATCCCTTTCCCTGGATTCGATGTTAACAAGTCAGTTGACGACGATGTTGTCGCCTGGGTTGAAGCTTCAATCGCTGAAATAGACCCATCAGCTGAATTGGAAGATGCTGTTCCCACTGCTGTCAAAAATGCTCTTCATCTACTCCTATTAGTACCAGGATTCAGCCCATCAAAGACTCTTCAAGAAAATGTCTCAAGAGTTATCGAGGATCTTTTACTTCTTGAATGATTTTAATTATCAAAATGATGACAAAGCTCGACAATTTTTCTTTTTGAACAAAGATTCCCTAATCTATTGATTTTATTAATAATATTGAATGAAATAAACTATTATAAGCTGAATACCAATCCACAAGTGTAACTAAGTTACCAAATCGTCTTAAAATTTTTCCCTGGGACAAACTGAAAATATCAATTAACATGATTAATAAGAGGAATAAGACACTAAAAAGTCACAAGATTCATCAAAAAAGTGCAAATAAACGATTTTTTTCACGATCAATATATAGATATTTGAACTTAATGGACTAACTCGAAGACGTAAAATATAAAGTCATCAAACGACTCAACTTTTTCCCATGTTGATATTGTATAATAATAGAACCTGAAAATGTTATCTCAAGAATTTTATCAATAGTTTCTTGTGATATTTGTGGGTGTAGTTTATTCATACGATGACTCGAAATCTAATTTGACTCATTTTGAAAGCATGAAATAGCAGATAGATGATGTTAAGGAGTATCGTTAATACACAGTAGGTCAAACGCCGACTTGCCGAATTGATTACTGTGTTTATCTAGTTCATTCATCATGATTTGGTATAAAGATTGCAACAGACTAGATTAGGGATTAGAAACGTATAAACAAAACAGTTAGCAGAATAATCATGATTCCGATGTACGTTTGTTTACAATTAATTAACTCAATTGTTTCCTAGCAGTCATGGTATTTAACAATTGAATTGTTTTTAAAAAATGCAATTAGATTTATTTATTTCCAATGAATTGTAAATACAGGGCAATTCAGCTACTTTGTTGGTTTTCTTTTCACGATTTCTCAAAAACTACTAGACCGATAGGGTCCATATTTCGTCTATGGAAGTTTGGGGGATACTCAATTGGAATATTTCAAGGTCAAGGTCATAAAGGTTATTCGTGAAAGAACGCACTTGAAGGTCATTTGAAGAACTTTTTGAAAACAAGAATTTTTTTAGCTTGGTCATGAAGTCAAAAAATAATCTACAGGGTACATTCTAGTTAATGTACAGTATGTGATGACGCTGAATGTTAATGTAGATGTATAAATAAAAAACTTAGATTAGAACATGAAATCGCGTCTAATCGCGGTGAGAGCGACTGTCAATCAACAGAGTTTGTAATCCGATCTATACTTGTGTAGCTAGCCAAATCAATGTTGAGCTTACTCAACAATGGCGTTTCGAATCTTCCGGGTATTAATTTTTTCCAATCCTTCATCTTATTCATGGTGTTTAAATCAAAATCATGAGAACTTGTACAAACTACTAAACTGAACAAACTGGCTCCACGTATTTTAATACTTTCAGCCAATTTCATAACTTGTTCCATGTTTTCTTTGAGTGTGGTGATTTTTTAATGTTTTCTTTTTTTAACAGTTTTATGAAGCTTGATCAACTTGTCTAAGCTTTCACTGAAACTCTTCTCTTCTTCTTCAGTTGATTTCCTGAAGAAATTCATGCGATTTTTTGTAGCAATAATCGATTTTAATGCACTCGTGAACAGCTTCATCTCTTGATCCATTTTTTCATGATCATTGTATCTGATGCATGTTGTAACCAGTCCATGTTTCTTGATACATTTTTCACAAACAGGTAAAAAATAAAATAATCTTTGAATAAAAATTCATGTAACAGGTTACAAGATGTACATTTTATTAGTTTTATGCACGAGTCAATTATTCAAGATAAATGGACAGATCAAAGAAACAATATTCATTAATGATACTCTTAATTGGACATGAAAATGGATAGTATTCAAAAGCTTTTATTCTAACGAAAGCTTTTTCATTTTATTTATTTCTTGGTAACCGCAAATTAACGTGCATCATTTGTACGTTGAAGTTAAACGCTTCATGAGCGAATAAAGATACAAAATACTCATCGTTTTCATGAATGTGTAATCAATTTTTCTCTTTAGGTTGATTATCGCAATCATTTTGTCTCCCTCACGTTATCTCATCTCCAAAGATTATAAGGAGCGCATGTTACATTGTCATGCTACATGTTTTATTTTACTTGGTTCCCAGTTGATTTGTTTCTGAAAAATCAGTGAGTGACTACTAGTATTAGTTATGATAAAATTATGTTAAGAAATTGACTATGCAGCCTCAAGGTCATAAGAATACTATTTCATTCTGAAGATTATTTATAGTAGAGCTTTTTTCGATTTTTAAGGTCTCGTTTTCACCAGTTTATAATAATGACCCACGGGTTGTCAATTTTTATGTCTTTTTATTAACTTTGCTATAAACTATTGGCAATTTATGTAAGCCAATTACCGTTTCATAAAACTCTTTGCCTTTTTGACTTGGTAATGAAATCCTTTTTTGTAGGTTGATTATCCGCAAGGCAACTGATTGATTCACTTGGGTGTTGATGTTCAGAAAGGTCACATGATGATTCTCGGTGTAATTTACTCGGTGTAACATATCACTCTAATTTTCGGTTCAATTTGATACATTATGCAAATTTAGGTTGAATTTGATAAGATTAGAAATAATCAAAATAAAATTGAGGAACCAATTTCATTGATGACATCAATATTTAGTGAGCCTCATATTTAATTATTATAAAGGCAAATAATTAAAATTAGCATCAGTTAATTACCATAATTTGAGGTTATAACAAAGTTTTCCTTCTTTGTCATTTGCTACTGTATTGTAGTTGTTTCGTTACCTGAAATGGTTTTCCTTTTTGTTATAAATTTGTTTACTTTGATATTTCTCTCAAACTTTTACATACTCCAAATATCTACTGGTAAGTTTTGATAATAATTGTGACGAAATTAATAAATACTTAGCTTGAAGATATCTTTACGATAAATTCTTATTCATCTTTGATAAATTTCAACCTTTCATTGTCTTAGAGCCTCTACATGATCTCCCTTGGTCAATTGATAAAGGAAATTGGATAATAACTGCAAAGTTAATTTCGGTGAGTCTTAATATTCTTGTTCAATAGTTGAATAGTTAATTAATTGAACGTTCAATTCAGTCAAATGGGGAAGTTTACAATATTCGAGAATACGTTCATTCAAGTGAAGTTGTTCGCGGTAAAATTACAATATCATCAGGAGATGATAAGGTGGATATTTTTTATTCCAGTGAATTCGAAAACGATAGATTAGTTATTCAAAGTGAGTATTGTTTAAGTGCTTAAGTGATTTTGTATTCTTATAATTTTTACTTCTAAACAGAACGACAATGTACTAAATTTACTTTCAAAAAGAAATGGGACAATAGTTTATTTGATATTGATTCAAAGAAACCTCTTCTTAATCATGTACTGTTGACGGGACCTTCGATTCTGTTCAGGATCAATGGAAAAGGTTTAACATGGGTAAATATTGTGCTTGAGCAATTTGCTTCTCTAGATTTTCAATTTCAACAATTAAATAAATAGAAACAAGGAGAAGATACAGTTATCAGAGGATTCCCAGTGCATTCTGCAAAGACAAAGTACAATGAAAACCTTGATATTATTTATTATTACAAAAGTAAGATAACTATCCAAGTATATTTTGTTTTATCTTTCGTATAATAACCTGACAACTTCCGTTCATTATCAATCTTCTAAAAAGCTCATTTAGATTCACCTGACTTATTACAAGCGAGTCGATTACAATTTGATGGTATGGATTCATCTCTTCAGCTGGTAACTTTCAGAGAAAATTTTAACATAGATATTTACTCAATGGTAAAAACACAGGAAGAATTTGATAAAGTTGTTACGGTAAGAAGAATACAAGACATTTTTATCGATTATTATAAGAATTTATCACCTTCAGGTTACACCAGGAATCGGTTGTTTCTTGAAACTCATAACATCAGAATCTCATGATTGGCTTATGATACCAGAAATGTCGAAATCGAGTTATCATTTCATTGCAAAAACTACTGTTGATGGACCTAAGAAATCAACAACTTCAAGTGAGGTAAAACTATATCTTTTAGCTGATATCATACATAGAATACTATATGTTTGGACCTTGTTGGCCATTTGAATTGAATTCTAATATTTCTCATAAACATCACAAATCATATTCTTTAGATGTTCGTTAACAGTCAAGATCTAATCACAGGTTCGAAAACAATAGAACAAGGGATTGTAATGGAATCTCTTTACGATTATAATTTGGGAACTGTCTATGTTTTTCAAAAAGGAGGCCCTTGTTTGGTCTCCGGTATTGATCCAAATAGTCTAGGAATAAGTAAATATGGATCATTCACTCCATCCGGGTTTCTTAATTATCGAGATACATATAAATACTCATATCTCGGTAAAACTTTTGTCGTATGTCTCAATATATTAAGGCTCGAATCTTCATATTAATTCTAAAAATCAAACTTTTTCTCGTCAATTGACAACAGGAATCAGGATACGAAGTTTATGTCTGGGAAAGAGTTGATTACAATTACGAGCTCGAAGGAGGAAAATATGATAAACTTGTTACCAGTCATTATTTTGCGAAATCAGTAAGTGAGCAATTTAGAGGTACATTGCATCTGATTTTATCAACCATTAATGTTTTCAGGATGAAGCCAAGTTATTCAAAGGTTTTCGACTCGTAAAAACTACAACTGACAATTATAAAGAAGTGGACGTACGTAAAAATTGACCTTCTCTATTGGAAATTGGGTTCACTCGAGCAAAAGTCACAATAACGAAACCAGAAGAGCGAAAGTTGCGAAAAATTCAGAAAAGTTCTTTTGAAGATGAGCCTCATCATGTTTCATCACTGAACATTTAGATAGTTGGTTAATTGATTTAAATTAGTTTCCTTGAATTTCGGACTAGCGAGCTTCGCTTTTTTGTCTTTCGATCATTTGACTCTGCTAGTATGAACCATAACCCTAATGGATTCTAAAGATTTAAGATAATTATTAATATGAGTTTCTATCCATTTAGAGTAACTATGAATGGCTTGAGACCATTACAAAAGATTATTATGGATTGGAGGAGACAGAATCAGGTCGAGATTATGAAGATAAACTATCATTACGTTTCAGTGATTGTTACCCTGATTCTACGGAAAGAAAAACTTTGGCTATTTATTTCAGTTGTGAGAATGAAAAAGATGTGGATTGTGTAAAGTATGCAGAAAACCATGTTAACACATTTACCGAAAATGTAAAGGATATTTTGGTACAGAAAAATATTTCTCCTGCAAGAATAGCCAATATTGATCTTTTATTTGAACATCGAAATATCAAAGCATCAGTGATCTTTTTGAAAACTCCCAATATTGAAGGTGAGTTTTAATCTGAAACGTGAGTACGTGAAGCTAATATACTTTTTAATTCTTTTGATAATCAGATAGTGTACAAAAAATAAGAATGAAACTATCACAGAAAACTATTTCAAATACAGTTCAAGTATCTTCAAAATCAATTGACGATTGCCTTCTCAAACAAGCTGGACTCTATTATAGCCAAGAGTGAGTATTAATATTAATACATACATTTATGAAATAGTAATTCAACTTCTCAATTTTCTTATATAATTGAATCATCCAAGAGCGATTATATTTTGCAATTCTGAAAATACAAAGTCCAATATTTGTGGTCGAATTCAATTTAAGGGAATTATTGTCACGGATGACGCTGGTACAATTTGCGATGTATATTATCCAATCTACAGTTTTTCAAATTTTGTGAGAGAAATTGCTCTTGAAAAATTGGAAGACAATATACTTGATAATACATTTCACTTTTATCTTAACCGTGAACCGAACTTATTTTATGAATCCACAAAAGTCGTTGTGACTAGAGAGGCGAACCAAAACAAAGACTCGTTCACAATGGCTACCAATAATAAGAAACTAGTCGATTCCAATGGTGATGTTATATTGGCGAAAGATGTTTCCAATCTTGGTGATTGTTATCGTACTTGTGCTCATGATAATGTCAATCTTTGTGAGACTTTTGTCTATTGTCAATATCCAGATAAATTGTCTTGCTATACATCTAATGTTATCTATGCTAATTTATCTTTACAATCAACAGAAGATGAATCTTGTAAAATCTATTCAAAGAATCGATTATTAGATTACATCAAAATATCTTCGAGAGAGTTTAAAAAATCGCCTAGCATTGATATTAATGTTCCAATTGGTGATTGTGCTTCAATATGCAGTTCATCTGATGAATGTTTCTCATTCCAACAATGTGGTGGTTCTTGTACTTTGAGTGGATATTACACTGATTGGGAAACACAGGAAAGTGGTGATTGTAATATTTATATTCGTAAGTGTTGAGTATTTGATTACAGAAATCAATGAGCTTAATCAATCAATGTCTTTATTATTTCAGCGAAAGTTTCTCAACAATTTATATCAACTGGACGGAAAATTGTTTCTCAAGTTTTTCACACTGAAGTTAATCTAAATTTGGATCAATGTGCTGCTCTTTGCCACAGTTGGACAAACACCAACGAATCTTGTGTATCGTTTAATTACTGTCCTCAAAATGGTGAAATTTGTTCATGTAGCTTATCAAAATATTCAATCAACGATAAATCAGCAAATTTAGTTGATTCAAGAGTTTGTAAGAATTATGAATACAAAATTCTGAAATCAACTAAAAACAAGAATATCAAAAATGAAAAAGTTACCACAAACGGGACTACTGCAATAGCTGCATTCGGTATAATCATGTTGTTTATTATCATTGGACTTTTATTTGGATTTATTTTCCCAATGCTCATCAATGGAAAACTCAAGTACAACATTACCCATAAAAAAAATTCACAATTTTCATCAGAACGAGAAAAAGAAATTATTAATAATTCATTTAGATGGACAAAACAAATCGACCAAACTGATACACAAATCATGTTGTAACCTTTCGCCAGTCTTTTAAGCAATAATACTTATATGTCGAGCTATTTTACGAACGACAATGAAAAGTTGTTTTTAAAGATTATTTTCGAATGAACCAAATTGATTAATCATGTATTCTTATTCCTTCTCTGAATTGAAAAAGAATTAAAAATGAATCAATAATTGATGAAATAATTTATATTTACTTGACCCATTCAAAAATAGAGATAAACAACAAAGGAGAGAGCAGTTTAGTCTTGAGAATTTACAATTGCAATCGATATTTATTGTAAGTTGTATTTTTTAATCATACAAAACTTTTTCATTGCGATTCAATTAAGAACAGTGAAGTAACAGTAATACAGTATATTCACTTTCTTAATCCTTCCAGCAAGCGTTTGGAGCGATACTCTTGATGGTGTCTTTGTAGTAAAGGGTTCGAGTGTAAAGACCAGCGGTATCGGTACTTTCACCACATTCAGTCCATGAACCAGAAACGACACCCATGAGGTAGTGTAGACCGTTATTGCCCTTTTTCATGAGTGGTCCACCGGAATCACCAGAACAAGCATCACCCATGGTTTGCTTGTTGATGGCGCACATGTGAGTCTCAACGACTTCGGGGATTCGGATTAGTCCCTTCATTGAGAGATCAATACCATTTTGTTTGAACAAGAAATTGGTCTTGATATCGTTACATTGTTCGTCTGGGAAGTATTTAAGACAAAATGAATCGTGAAAAACTAAATTAAGATGAAATATTATTAACCGACTTACGGGTCAAGTATGAAACATCAACTTCTAAGAGAGTGTCACTTGAGTCAGAGTGAGCGGAAGTGGTTCCCCATCCGGAGACGGTGAGTTTGGATAAACCTGATTCGTTCTTGGGTAAACAGACTGGAGAAATTTGTTGGCTGAATTTTACCGGCTCTGAGAGGGTCAAGATGGCGAAATCGTTTGAAAGATCCTTTCGATTGTAGTTAGGGTCAACCCAGATTTCTGAGACTGATCGGGCTTCAGAGTATTCAGAGAAAGCCTTAACTTTACCAAGGAAAACGTCAACATTTGAAGGGTACTTAGTGTAACCATCACCGTCGACAACACAATGAGCAGCGGTGGCGATGTGTTGTTCATCGATCAAAGAACCGCCACATTGAGAGAATGATCTAGAGTTTCGGCTAGTGTACGATCTAAAAAGTTATATAATAACCAATTGAGATGATTAGTAAAAAGAAATAGAAACTTAATTGCTGGAAAAACTTACCGAATGTGAGCTAACCAAGGGTATTTGTGAGCTCGAACTTTACTTCCTTTGTAGATTCGACCAGCTGAACCTTCCATACCACACTCTGTGTGTATGAAATAGGTAGACAAAGAAAGAAAGAGAGAGTGAGAGATTTCTTCTGTTCCAATCAGCCTAATATATCCTTTTCTATCCACTCTCACCTATTGAGATTCCACATTCTGTCACTGTTACACCGAGCCGTGTGGTGCCGTGCTCAACCAGCCACAACTAGTGGATTTCTCAGGCTACAGCAAGCGGTCCCTTCAACCGGCATCTTCGGTTTCGAAGGGAAGCCCTAATGGCTTTTAAAGGCGCCTGGAGACTCTCCCCGTCTTACCCCTTCTAGATGTCACCATCTAGGGAGGCTGACTCCCTCACGGGAGCCATTTCAGCTAACGGGTGCTGCCCTCTCTTTCTACTATGTCATCACCGGGTATCGAACTCGCAACCTTGACCTAGCAAGGGCAGATGCTTAACCCTCTGAGCTGAGAGAGAGAGAAAACAATAAGAGAGATGAATAAATTTAGATTCGAATCAATTTCGAGTATAAATGATCAGTCACTTACCACAAGCGAGTGAGAAGTTAACAGCAGCGACGAGAAAAACACAAGCTAAGAGAAAGACTCTCATGGTTACGATGGAAAGAAATTAATCAGAAGAGACAAAACTTATTCTAATTGTTGAATATCTATGATTCTGCGAATGATCAATCTTTTATATTTAGTTTTTTTGCTGCCACGTTCAACAAGATGTTCATCTTAATTTAATTTACAATCGACAAATCAATCAATTTCTATGACCTTTTGTTTTTACATTTTTCCAAATTCAACATTTGTTTTGTTAATAATTCAACCCCAAGGACAAAAGAGTTTCGACCAACTCATCATCTTGACATCAAATTGAAATTAAATTTGTTTTTAATATCAATTCCATTAATCACTAGATAACAATTAACACGTTTAAACAACTGTCAAAATTGACTTTTCATTGTCTTTTTGCCCCTAACTTGTCCTTATATTGACTTTTAGTCCTTATCTTGTCTTTAAACAATGAAAAGATGATGTTTATCAGTGATGGAAATGTGAAAGGTGGAAATCGAGAAATATCAATGCTGTTAATTGTAAACGTAAATTAGATATAAAAATTGAAAAAGATTGTTGATCAAAAAAAGACTTTGGTAATTCACCAATTTCAATTGTAACAGCATTTATGACAAATGACTATTTGTTTTTCCATAAATTTAACATTTGTTTTGATAATAATTCGACCCCAATGATAATAGAGATTCGAGGAACTCACCATCTTCACATCAAATTGAAATGAAAATTGTGTTAGTATCAATTTCATTAATGAATAGATAACAATTAACACATTTAAACAACTGTCAACATTGACTTTTCATTGTCTTTTTGTCCTTTAATTGTCATTTAATCTTCATCTTGTCTTTAAACAATGTGAAGATGATGATTATCATTGATGAAAATGTGAAAGGGGGAATAGATTAAAAATATCAATGAAACTGTAAACGTAATTTAGGTATAAAACTAGCTGGTAATTGATTTCTGAATGTTTTGTTTACAATCACAGATAATTCAATTAATGAAAAAATTTTGACAATCCAAAGATGTGGCTTTACCAATTTGAAAATCGATAATCATAAGAATAAATTGTATTCATAAGATTTGGATGCTGCATAACTAAATATTTATTGTGTTATTTTTCAAAGATATTAAGTCGTCCGATAATTAATTGTACTTATCATGTTCTAGTGTAGATAGAAACGGGATCAGTTGGATTCTTCCATGCGGTTGCCTCAGTATCTATGATGATCACATTTATATTGTACGTTATCCCGAGTATCTTGAACTGGACTGAAGACCCAACGGCACTGCTGATTTCTCATCTAGACTTTATCGTCGTTTATCGCCACTCTTGGCATGGGTGGATCGTTGATCATTTTAATCAATCAGTAATCAATAATCAGATTATTGCATTAGGATTCCTAAGAGGAGCTGCTTGGATTCATAGCGAAATATTGAATAAAATAATTCGAGTACCGATGAGCTTCTATGATACAACACCCATGGGAAGGGTTCCCAACAGATTCACAAAAGATATTGATAATGCTGATACAACGATCACTTTGAACTTTCCAAGTTTTTTCAACCATTCTTGGCATCTCAATTGTTGGTATTTGCACTCAGATTATTTATCTAGCAGTTGGGAATAGTTATTGGAACATTTTATTGCTTAGTTCAAGTGAAGACTTTTCTTTATTTTGTTGACAATATTACATGAAGTATGTTGGTGTGATACTCCTCACCATAGAAAGTATATTGATCTACATTACAATGTCTTGAATCATCTGTTAACTGGCCTAAGCACGATTTTTGTAAATTGATGGACGCTAGTTTTTGCTACAGACGAAAAAATAATTAAGTGGTCCTATGTACTTTTCTATTGTAACTCTGAGTAAAATGTCTTTTTGACAAATAGTTATTTATTATTTCATTGTACATTTATTATCTAGAAAATGGGTTCCTTATGGAAAATTTAAAAAATTTCGTGTAACATTCACTTTGGAAGCATTGTAAATACAAATGTAGTATTTGAAGTTAGTTCCATAAATACAATTTAAATCGTATAATTTTTTTCTGTTTAATCCATTTGTCTCGAAAAATGGAATGAATTGATTTCTCGTTCCGACGAAGATGATGAAACAAACTTTTGAGTGATAATTTCCTTTAGTTTTCCATTGATAAGCATTGGGAAAATAAATCCAAGCAAAAGTCCAACGGTAACGAACAACATGATTATACCAAAAGCAGCTACTCCACTTGTTCCTCTGATGGTAACTTGTTCACTTCCATAATTATTTCCTCCATTGGATCGTTGATTTTTGTATTCATAATTCTTACAAACTCCTGAATCAATTGAATTAACTGATTTATCGTTGATTGAGTATTTTGATAAGCTACATGAGCTTATTTCACCATTTTGAGGACAATAGTTGAACGATTTACAAGATTCGTCAGTATTTGTCCAGCTATGACAAAGAGCAGCACATTGATCCAAATTTAGATTAACTTCCGTGTGAAAAACTTGAGAAACAATTTTCCGTCCAGTTGATATAAATTGTTGAGAAACTTTCGCTGAAATAATAAAGACATTGATTGATTAAGCTCATTGATTTCTCTGTAATCAAATACTCAACACTTACGAATATAAATATTACAATCCCGACTTTCCTGTGTTTCCGCATCAGTATAATATCCACTCAAAGTACAAGAACCACCACATTGTTGGAATGAGAAACATTCATCAGATGAACTACATTTTGAAGCACAATCATCGAGTGGAACATCAATAGCGATATTAGGCGATTGTTTAAACTCTCTCGAAGATATTTTGATGTAATCTAATAATCGATTCTTTGAATAAATTTTACAAGATTCATCTTCTGTCGATTGTAAAGATAAATTAGCATAGATAACATTAGATGTATAACAAGACAGTTTATCTGGATATTGACAATAGACAAAAGTCTCACAAAGATCAATATCATCATGAGCACAAGTACGATAACAATCAGCAAGATTGGAAACATCTTTGGCTAATATAATATCACCATTGGAATCAACCAGTCTCTTATTATTAACTAATACGAAAGAGTCTATGTTGTGATCTAACTCATTCGTTACATCGACGACTTTTGTAGATTTGTAATAGATGAAACCATCATCAGTCAAATAGATTGCTAATGATAGACGGCTAATATAATCTTCCATTTTGTCAAGATGAATTTCCTTCCTAAATTGAGAGTAACTATTGATTGGATAATATACATCGCAAATTGTACCAGCATCCATTTTGACAATTTTCTCTGAAGATTGAATCCTACCACAAATGCTTGGCCTTGTGTAATCAGCATTGCAAAACACAATCACCCTTTGAAACAGTTACATTATTATTAGAAAAATTCAAATAATAGTTACTCTATGAATACTTACTCTTGGTCATAATAGAACTCAACTTGTTTGTAAAGACAATCTCCAACTGATTCTGCAGTAATCCGATCTAAGTTTAAAAGAGCTTCCTGAGACAATCTCATCCTTTCTTTTTGTAAACTATCTGTTGACCAAAAGAAACGAAGAACTTTATTCATCAGTTTATATTCAATTATCGGTTTGCACTCACCCTCAATATTAGGGATTTTCAAAAAGGTCACTAATGCTTTGATATTTTGACCTTCAAAAACCAAGTCAATATTGGCTATTCTTGCAGGAGAAATATTTTGCCTCAACAAAGTATCCTGGACTATTTGGTCCAATACTGGAGACCGAACAACGACCTTTTTTCAATGAGACGTAAACAGTTCCCAAGTTATAATCGTAAAGAGATTCTGTTAAAATCCCTTGTTCTATTGTTTTCAAACTTGTAGTTAGATCTTTACTGTTAACAAACATCTTAGAATATACAGAAAACAAATTATTAATATTTTTGAAATTATTTAAATCTAAACAAAGTTTTTAATAATCTTTCAGCTAATAGAAATATTACTTTACCTCACTTGAAGTGCTTGATTTTTTGGGTCCATCAACAGTAGTTCTTGCAATGAAATGATAATTTGATTCCGACATTTCTGGTATCATAAGCCAGTCATGAGATTCTGATGTTATGAGGTTCAACGGACAACCGATTCCTGGTGTAACCTGAAGATGATAAATTATCTTAATAATAGTAAAATGCTTGATAAAAATGTCTTATATTCCTCTTACTGTAACTGTTTTACCAAACTCTTCCTCTGATTCTTCCAATGAGTAAATATCCAAATAAAACTTTTCTCTATTAGCTATAAGTCCAAACGACGAATCCAAGCCACTTAACTGTAATCGACTCGCTTGTAATATGTCAGGTGAGTCTAAATAACCTTTTCAGAGAAATGGTGATGAGCTACAATTAACAAAAAAAAATTTTCTTTTCTTTAATAATCAACTCACTTTTGTAATAATAAGTAATATCAAGATTCTTATTGAACGTTGTCTTTGCAGAATGGACTGGGAATCCTCTCAACGTTGTGCTTTCATCTTTTTCCTATTAAAGTTATATCAAAACAACAATTAAACTCTAATAATGCTATGAGAATATTCCCAATATTTACCCAGATAAAACTTTTTCCATTTGAAAGGTTTTCGTTTGGTTTCTTATCTTTAGATAAGGTTGAAAGTTGAAGCTTTATCACTTAGATCGATTTGTTTCACTATTCTGTGAATGATTAGGTTTCAGGACCTTTGAGTATTTCACTCTGATTGTAAACTTTTACAATTTTAATTGTTTCGAATCTTAATTGATTGCTACCTGCCTTTCAATAATCAGGTAATTAAGGTTCGCATACAGGACCATGTACACTGTGAACAAAGTAACTTGAGTTAACAAAGAAAAGAGTAGAGAAATTCAACTAACTGAACTTTATTAAAATTTACTCATGATAACTTGATGTTATTCTGTTGAGAGTAGACAGTTAACTTACTGTTACTCGATACAAGTAATTAAAATAAAACTTAAGTTTTTGATTTTTCTAGAACAATTGGGGGAAAAAGAGATTAAAATGATCGCATTGGTCAAACAATGATGATGATAAGTCTCAAGGCTTAACAAAGCGCTTTTAGCTTAATAATGCGATTAAAGATAAGGTGAGATAATTTGGTTAATCAAATGATAAATTGAGTTTAAACATTAAGAAAAAGAAAGACAAATTTTGGTCTCTTTCTAAAGTGATCAAAATTTAACAAAATTAAATTGGGGATTAACATAATGAAAATTTGAGTAATTTGAGTTACAAAGAAAAGTAATTAAGAGTAATTGAAATCTAAGTTTCATGATTACTGAGTTTTGATTATATGGTTGAGATTAAAATGAATAAAGTAGAAAGTAAAAGATAAGCGATAAATGATAAATGATAAATGATAAACCTAAAGGTTTTAAATGTTAATTGAATTCTTGATTCTGAGTCGAATAAGAATTAGTTTTGGTGGGTCTAAACTCACTACCTCACAATACTCCGGAATTATGACCTAGAACTCTCATCAAAACTGAATTTGAAATTCGACGGTTCGATGGTTCCTCTTGATTTTCCTCCGGGTTTTCCTCTTGTTGATCTCTTTCTCTTTCTTGAGCCAATTCCTTTTCGATATTTGAGTATCTTCGGGTTGGATAAGCGAGATCTCGTCTTACTTGACTTGAGGGTATTTCATTCAATTGAAAGATTGAATTTTGTGATGATGAACTTTCAGTGAAAGTTGGTGGTGGAGTTGACGTTGATATGGGATTATTAATGAGTATTTCCTGAATTATATATTCAGATGGATTAGATGATGATGATGTAGATGATGATTCTGATGATGAGGATGTTTCAGCTGAGCTTGTATTCGATGATGAAGTTTGAGCTTCAGATGAATTTTCAGCATCCTCGGTGTTATTGGTTGTGTTACTTGAATTTTGAGATGAGAAGTTTTCATTTTCTTGTAGATCAGATTGATTTTCTTCTTGAACTTGTCTTTCCATTGATGATGGTTGTTCATTAACTTCTGAATCTTGAGGTTCTTCATCTTCTTTTTCGTCATTTTCATGGATGGATGAGGCTTGAGATATGGTTGGAGTTCGGGATGAAGGTGGTACATAGTTATAGCTATTGTAAACGGGTTTTCCTCTTTCTCCGAAACAATAGTAACTCCAATCTTGGGGCCATGAAGCTTTTCCTTCCTTGACTTTGTCTGCAAATTTCTTGAGTAATCTCGATACACCAGAATTAGCACAGGTACTTGCACAATTAGCGAAATGAATTCCATCAGAAATTTCTTCACATTTCTGTTCAATCGCTTTCCATGATGACATGTAAAGTTTCATTGAGGTTAAAGCCTCTACACCAGGTGAATGTGAATATCTGGTAATAGTGAATCCTGAGAATAATAGAAATGAGATGAGGGCAAGTGATGCGGCAGAAATTGGATGAGGTGAGAAGTATTGAGTAATTTCTCTAAGCTTGGGCTTGAGAATTTCAATTTCTGATTGTTCCAAATCTAAAGATTTAAATAAATTGATTAATCCTGCACCAACTATTTCAGTTGCTGAGGCAAAATAGGTTAAAACTTGATCTTTAACTGATGGTAGATTTTTGGCATATTTTAAATCTTTCTCTCGAAGTCCATGATACTTAGTATCCATTTGATCAATTGTTGAATATTGGACGAAAGATTCATAAACGACATTTAAGTGTCCATCTACGATAATTATCCATACGGGTTGAGGGACTAAGGCCAATCGTTCATCACGAGCTATTTTCCTGCGACAATAAGCAGCATGAACAGCATAACAGGTCTTTGGATGAGGATGTTGTTTGATGTTCGATTGAATTGCTTTTTCAATTCTTGGCTCTAGAGAGTCGATATCAATTCGAGTTGATTGTTTGAATTTGTTATGAGCAGCGTTGTTTCTGTTGAAACGATAAGTTGTTCGCTCATGGTTGGTGATTTTCGCTGGTTCATTGAAATCTGATAACCACGAAGAGAGGGAAACCAATTTTGATAAGTTTTAAAACTTCTTCTCTCTGTTCTTGAGATAGTCGTTAACGGGTTGAAGGAATGTAAGGAGTAGCTTGATCTCTACTTTCAGGGCAAATTTGAACATGAAATTTTTCTCTTCGATAAGGTGGTAACCCATTGGCATAAGAAAGCCATTCTTCACTAGCTTGCTGAAGGTAAAGGGGAACTTTCGACCATTTAATAGATCGAGGTCGAGGTTTTACCGAAGGATGAGGTTTAGATCCTACAGTGGGTTCGAAACCTAAACTTTGAACAAATGATTCTGCATCATCCAGTGGATAACTTGGATCTTTTGATCTCTTGAAATTTGTCCAGAATCCGAGTCTCAAATTAGCGTGACTACGAATTCCAGTTGGACCTAACCAGGGATCATTAGGATTTTCTTCCTTATTTCTCATGAGACAAGCATACAGGTTGAGGTTATTATCTGCTCTTTCAGCATGAGTTGTGTAGGTAATGGGAGCATTTGGAACTGAACTTTTGACATGAGAGGGAACAAAATTCATCAATCGTCTTGGAACGTTTTCTAATTCTTCTCGAACTTTTCCTGGGATAAATGGAGCTTTGAATTCAATATCAATTTCTTGACGGAAAAGTCCTTTTCGACATTGGCTTTCGTGAGCCACGAATAAACCTGAACTAATCTGTTGATTACACAAGGTTCTTCTGCAGATGAATTTACTTTCTCGATATGAACAATAGATTTCTGAGGGTTCAATTCTTGAGAATTTGGGATAATCGTCATTGATAGAGTATTTGTAGATACATGAGGGAATCAAACAGATGAATTTGTCTGCACTGTTAATTGGGATTAGTTTCAGAATGGTAATCAAATCTCGTAAAATTTGATACAACATTTACAGTACCATTTGAAACAATTGGAACAATTGAATGGATCAATTGCAATTTGCTCACAAAGATGACAACGAATTGATTCTTCGATCTTTTCTAGTTCTGAACTAACAACATGAGATTTAGTTATACCTCGAGGTATCGGACCAAGAGTAATGTCGAAGATCGATTTATGTTTGAACAAATTTAGATAGATTTTCTCTCTGATCATCTTTTCAAACTTTTGTTTGATGAGCTCAAAGCTTTTCGCTTTCTCGTCTATTTCTGATTTAATTTCATTGAAACGATCTTTTGTAAGATAAGGACAATAAGGAGCAGTGGGTAAAATTTCTGGATATTCATGTTTCTCCCAGGGATAGTCATCAGGACCTAAATAAGCTTTTTCTGCTTCTGGGATTACCGTTTTATCTGAAGAAGTAACTTCAATGTTCTTACCCTCTGTGGTTAACTCCGGAATTTGCTCAGATTCCACTGTTGATGGGTTATTTTCCATGACTGGACGATGAGCTTTTGGTTGGAACGATAATGAATTTAAAGATTCACTTGACAATTGTCTCTTAAGTTGATTTTTCCTGTTGGCAAATTGTGGCCAAGGTGTAGTTTTGAGGTAAATGATTGATTCGGTTGATGTTGATGGTGAAAGTGAAGGTGAAGGTGATACACTTTTAACACTATGATGTTGTCGTGAGTCGGAAGTTGATGGTTTTTGGTCATCCGATTCAAGCGAAGGTAAACTTTCAATTAAAGTTGTAAGTTTATCAGCCATTGTATTTATAT